TAAAAGATTTTTTTTTTTTTCAAAAAATTTTTATTCATACTCTATGATCATGTTCATCACAATGAATAAAATTTAATGTGATTAAAATACAAAGATATAAATAAGAAGATCGACAAATATTCATTATTCAAATTTCAATTTTTATTTCAACTAGAACAATGAAGATAAACTTGATTAGTTACTTGGCTTCATCTACAATATAGAAAAAAAAAAACAAAATGCATATATATTCAATTATTTATCTATTTAGTTAGAATGTCATATTACACAAAAAAAAATAAAATAGTATTTTAAAATGAATTTAATTTATATAACGATGATTAATAATGATCTCTCATATATACATTAATATTTTATGCATATTATTAAAAAATATAAGATGTTTTTTTCCATCAACTAAAATAAATAATTACTCGTAATATATCTACATAAACATTTTTTCATATTTCTTACATATTGATTAGTATTATGGGTACATTAGATAACACTATCCTAAACCATTGTTGTGTTTTAAAAGAAGACATATCCTTCTACCATATTTGTTATAAGTAAACTAAGTGTACACGTAAAATGAAAGGAAAGGTAAAAAATAAGAGTAATGCATGATTGCTGCTACATCAAGGCAAGGACAATAGATATGTGAATTGCTATTTCAATTCTACCAGCTCTAACCAATAGATTTATAAATATTGGAAATTAATAAAAAAAATTATTTTCATAATAAAAAAGAAAAATAAAAGTGACAACGACAGCAATTAATAATAGACTTATGATGATATTACTAAGTGTTTTCTTGTTCTTATTGGTTCATTATTTTCTATAACACATTTATGCATTTTATTAAAATATTTCTTATTTTAAAATTTTCTATTGATTATTATAAATAAAGGTTTAAATTTCAGAAAATACTCAAACTTATTTTAATAAATATTATATGAAATAAATTTAAAAAGAGGTCTGTACTTAGTTAATGAATTAAGATAATGGCATTATGTTTTTTGTATACTACAAGCAGCCTTATTAGTTTGACACATTTGTTCGAAATAAATTTTAAAACATGACATCATCAAGTTACATGCTAGAACGTGAACTTCTTGGTTCAGCACGAACTATAATCGATGCACATTCAAATGCTACACTTACTCAACCATCTCCACATAATACTTTTCGGGGATCGTATGGAATATCAAGTCAGTTACCATATACAACTGCAACTACAAGTTATCATCACCTTGGATACGGAACCGCTTCTACAGATAATTATGAATCAAAAAAAGCTTTAGCAGATGTAAATAAATCTTTAATGATAAAATAAATCTTATTGAATTAATATATTTAGTTACAAGATCAAATTCGTTTATTAAAAAAAGATTTAGAAAAAAAAGATGGACTTATTCAAGAATTAACATCCATGAAGTAATTATTCAAAAAAAAAACGAAGTTTTATTTAACTAAAATGTTCTTTTTTTTTTATTCTTAAAAGAGATCCAACTAGACATGTTCATTTCGAAAAAGATAGATATGAATCATTAATTGGTCAAGATCGAACATCACTTGAAGCAGCTCGACGTGAACTTGATCAATGTCGAATAAAAGTCGAAGGATTAGCTCAAGATGTAATTGATTTTTTTTTCTGTATATTTTCTCTATTTATTTTATTTACAAAAATTTTAGTTACGTGAAACAACAATAAAATCATCTGCTAAAGATGAACGTATAAATGAATTAAAACATGAAATTGAATCATTAAAAAAAGAACATGATTTAGTTATTCATGCTAATAATCAATTACGTTTACGTTTACGTGAACTTGAATCAAATATAACTTCATATGATTCTGTTACTAATAAATCATCATTAACAATATCATCATTACAAAAAGATCTTAAAGAAAAACAAGATCAACTACTTGAATTACAATCACGTATAAGGTAAATAAGAAAATATTTATTTTTGTTAATTTTTTTCTTTTATTTTTCTTTTAGAACACATATGGAAGAACGTGAAACAAGTGAAAGAAAAACAGATACTTTAAATAAAAAATTACAAGAATTATTTTCACAATTAAGTGTTACACTTGGAACAGATTATGGACAACCAACTACAGTTGCATTTGATAAAGTTATGACTAGAGTAAGAATGATTTTATTTGCTTAATATTTTGTTCTGCTGTTTGAAAACATGAGACACAAATGTCATAGAAAAATCTTTGTACGAACAAAGCTTGAAAAAAAAAGGAGAAGTTTATTTGATGAGTCAATATTTTTTTTACAAGGTCAAGTTTTATTGTTGACCTTAACAAAGCTATACGACATGTAAAATGGATTAGTCTCTTTAACTTCTAGTCTTTTTATATAACTTAAGATTATCAGAACAAATTTTGCATTGTATAGTCTTACAAAATAAATTATTTTCATTGAGTCTTGACTATTTTGTTGAACTTTTTAAATTCTTTTTTTTTTTGAAATTTTAATCATCTCAAATATTAGTGAAAAAAAAAGTAGATACTAAAGTTTTAAAACTTTTTTAAGGTCATTTTCTACAAAAAAATATTCTTGTCTTATTTCTTATTAATATATTCTCGACAGTCTAGAAATAGATAGTTCAACATCAATTGAAATAGAATTTGAAGTATTCTATAATGATGATAGCTCGAACTATAATGACAAAATGTCACTAAAGCAGTTACAAAGATTAAGAATTCCACTTGATTTTACATTTCTGATTTCTGTATGATTTGACCTTCGTGTATTATTTTTATAATTAATCGTTTTTTTATTATTATCAAGGTTGCTGATATTAATGCTGAAAATACATTGTTAAAAGGTAAACTGATTAAAATCGAAGAAATAAATCGAACATTAGAAAATGAATCTCAAGCAAATCGTTCAACACTTCAACAAATGTCAAATCAATTACATTCATTTGAACAATTTAATGTTAATCATCGTTTCCAAACTGATTCAATTAAAGCTGAACGTGATGTTGCACTTAATGATAAAGAAACAATAAAAAAAGAACTTGAAACAGTTAAATCACGTTTAGATTCTGTTCAAAAAGCTTGGCAAAATGCACGTGGTGAATTAGATCAACGTGAAACTAGATTTTCATCAAATGAATTACATTTAAAACAATTAGAAAATGATGCACTTTATTCAAAATCATGTTTTGATGCATTTAAACAACAAGTTAGTCAATTATTATCTGATGGTTATGTTAAAGTTGAACCAAAAGAAGATGAAATTAAAGAAAAAATTCGTTTATTAATGCAATCAAGTAAAGATCGAGGCATTGTAAGTTTTTATTTTATTTCAAATTAAATATATCATTACTTTTGTTTGTTTGTTTGTTTGTTTTCTTTTAATAAGATTATAACAAATTTACAAAATCAAAAAGAACAATTATCAAAACAAGTACAAGAACAAATTGATTTAAATAAAGAGGAAGATAAAAAACGACGTCATACTGAATCCCATATATTAGAATTAGAACAAAAAGTCAAAACACTTGATAATAATTATACAACAACAGAAGTTTATCGAGAAAATCTTAAACAAGATAAAGCTAAATTTCTTTATTTTCTTGAACGTCTTGCATCAATAATGAAAATTGAAAATGTATCAAATGAATTTGGTTATGAATTAAATCCTGATATTATATTAACACGTGCAGAACAATTAATGAAATTAGAAAATGATTCTATTATTGATCAAAAAAGTTCAAATTATAGTTTACAAAGAAAAATAAAACAATTAAAAGAACAAATTGAAAATAAAGATTTACATTTAGATTTATTAAGAAAAAAAGTAATTAGTTTAGAAGAAGGACGTCTAGTTAAAACAGATTTAGAACGTGAAATTGATGATCATGTTCTTTTATCAAGAAAAATGAAAACTAAAGTTGAAACTTTAACTCAACAAGTTAATGATTTAAAAAATGAAAATACACAATTAAAAGCACAAATAACAGATGTTCATACACTTAAAGTACTTTTTTTTCTTAATAAAAATTTATTAACTTTTAAATATTTTTTTGTTTTTAGGGTCGATTAGCAGAACGAGAAAAAGAAGTTCGTCGTCTTTTAGAAGATATTAATAAATTAGAAAATACACGTGATAGACAAGCTGTTAAAATTTCAACATTACAAGATAGAATACATGCTGTTGATGATGATGCTAATCAAAATTTACTTTCATCTGATAATACTGTACGAGCTTTATCAAATGAATTAAGATTTTTAAAAGGTTCACTTGAACAAGTTACTGAACGAGAACAACGTGTAAGAAATTAACAAATAAAACCGACTCTCTTTTTTTATCATTATTACAAAATTTTTATTTTTTATTTTTTAGTTACTTGATTTCCGTGCTTTAATAGCTCGTATGCTTGGCTTAGATGCTAAAACATTAGCTGTACCAGATTATGAAATAACAGCTCGATTAGAACGTCTTCTTACTACTGTTCAACCAACAATGGCAATTCCTTTTGTTCAAATACCTACTTCAACAACAAAATCAACAAATATTACTCAACAACATCAATCCCCTTATCAATATCATCATCATCATCATCCTCGTCATCAAAATACTCATTCAGCACATGGACGTCATCGTAGTCCAAGTCCGATATCTCGACGAACACAAGGCGGTCATCGTGCACGATCACTTTCACCATTACAAGTTGGAATTGATCCAAGAACATATTAAACTATTTTATAATTATTAATTTTCTTTTTGTTTGTAATGCTTCTCTGTGTGTATATCAATAATGAGAAACACCAAAAAAAAAAACAACTATTGAATTTGTTTTAAAAATTTCTCTAAATAACTCAATCGGACGTGTTTTTTTTCTTCTTTTTTTATCGTTGATTTATGATTAAAATTATATTTTACTTTAGAAATTATTTAAATTCTTGAGTAAAATAATTATACCAAAGTTTTGTTTTGAATTTAAAAAAAAAACTATTAATATAACATTGCTTATATATAAAAATAAAAAATTCAATTTAAAAAAAGTCTTAATTTTTGTTCAATCTTTCGTTTTTCTCGATCCATCATAAGACCATGGTGTTGAAGATTAGAACGTTCTTCATGAGTTTTTACAAATGTTTGTTTATCAATCGAAGAAGATCTTTCATTAAATGAATTTGTTTGATTTAATGATAATCGTTTTTGATGAACTGATGTCAAACGACTGGCTGTCGGTTTGCTGGTATTTATTGAAATTGAACGTCCTAGAATAAGTTTAGTTTTTGATGATGTTTGAATTGTTGGATTAATATTAATAGTAGATGATAATTGTGCTGTTTCAACTTGCAAAAAATCATTATTTTCATTGGGCAATGCAGATTGACCAACTGAAGATGGTAAAGCAATTCGAGCAAGATCACGATTAAGACGTATTAAATCACGTTCAATATCACGTTCATGATTTTCTAAACGTTGTAATTCTTGTCTAAATATAAAAATGAATTATTGAATTATAAATTGAATGAAAAATTAATAGATTCAATTATTTGAAGAAAAAAAAAAGATTTCTTTTCTTCGAAATAATCATATTATTTGTAATTTAGTCTGAAAATGATTTTTACAATATCAGTATGAGAGATATGTATCGCGCCTAAAAATTTGAAGTAGGGAGGTACAAAGAACGATGGCGTGGTCACGCGGTGCCTTACTTATTTGACAAGCGCAGAGCGATCGCATCTAACGATAACTGAAAAATTTCTTTTCTTATATTTGTTGCTCTATAATATATCTTAGAAAATAGTGTTTCATATCTGAACATTTACCTAAGAGCAACAGGATAAAGTTGAAAGTATCACAAAATAATATTTAATTAGGCAAGATGTAACCAGACATATGTACACTTATAGGGTATTCGTTTCCGTCTTGCGTACATTTAAGTTTGTGGGAAACTAAAACATTATTCCCGTCAGAATAAAATTTACTAAATTTTGAGTTTAGTCGATTTGTTATTGAAATAATTGTTAATCAATTTAACAAATAAATATAAAATGGAGTAATATAATAAACGGTATCTTAGACAGAATGAGTCTATCAACGATTAAATCTGTTCTCTTAAGTTTTCAGTATTCCTTTTCAAAAATTTCTAGTAATAGAGTTTAACAGCTGGTATGATTAAGGCACGGTCATGGGGTGAACCAATAAGGAGAGAGGCGACGATGGAAATGACCGCCTAGTCGCTGCACTTCAAAATTTCTTTAGCGACACGACCGGTGCATATCTCTAATCAGTATATAGTTTCAGATAAAAAGTCTTGTCAATGAAAATTTGCAATTATTAACATTAGAATTACAATCGAAGAAAATTATTTTTCATATGAAGATGATAACAATGTTTTATAGTCATTTGTAGAGTCACATGAGTATAGAAAAGAAAGATTTTTCTAATGATCTACAAGATCGATACTCCGTATAAATTCAAACGGTATCGATAACAAAGAAGAAGAAACAATTTAGTAGAAAAACAAAACTTTCTAAATAAATATTCTTTCTCTGATGTAAGGAATTTATTTCTTGATTAAACATATGTTAAAACAAGATTCTTTACTTGCGTTGCCAATCTAAACCTCTTGGTCCATTTAAATCACGATTAAGTTTTCTTTCATAAACTTTATTTATATTAATTCGTTTCATATCTGCATGATTAACTTGTTGCATATTTGGTACAGTTTTTTCCAATCGATATTTAACTCTACCTAAATCTTCATAATATTGATTACGTTTAATAGCATTATTAAATAAATTATATTGATATTTTTGATGTTGATATTCTTCTAATCCAATATTTTCCTTTTTGATAATAATTTCTGGTGAACTATTCAATGTACTTTCATCTGAAATTTGATTCTCTGGCATAGTTGTCGTCGTTACAGCGTCGCTCGCTTGTTTGATGTGATTGTAACTTTTCTTTTTTCTCTCTCTCTCTCGTTTTTTTTTCATTATATTTTTTTTCTAATTTCTTATTTTTAATTTGCGTACTTGAAGTTCATTTGATTCTACCACACCCAAACCTAACAAACAATCAAATCATCGCCGAAAGAAGTCCAAAAGACAACAAAAAAAATAATACTATCGTCAACACTCTATCAACGAAATGAATATTGACATAGCAGACGTCGTTATTGAAAAAGAAAATTGAATAATTCATCAGTTAATAGTCGAATTTTTCTAACGTCCGACAGTATTGTTCACATATATGGCAGTATATAAATAAGTCATATGTTTATGTTTTTTCTCATAACAAACAATATTTCGCAATCAGAATTGCGATAATGGAAAATGAATATAAATTTAATTATGATGAAATCAAACGAATATTTGAAAGTGTTCCACAAACAAATTCAACAAACAAAAAATGCAAACCTATTCCATATAAAAATCATTTTCAAGGTCGTACAAATCCAACAGTTGTTATGAAAAATGATAAAGAGTCAATACAAACTATTTCAAATACAAATAAATTAATGACAAATCAAATAAATCCAATACCAACAAGAATTCTATTTAATTTACAACGTATTCGTGTTTATCAAATAACGTATATTGAACAATTTTGTTTTCAAAAACAATATGATTTTTATGTACTATTAAATATTATGCAATAATCATTTATATTGTTCAATTTATAGTCGCTGTGTTATTATTTAACCAGTTGAACATTTGAAAGTTTTTCTTTCATATTATTTAATACAATAAGAAAAGCATAAATTGTTCGAAGAAGTTTTTCATTTTCATTTAATCCTAATAAATGTTGATTTCTAATAATTATTGTTGATAATTCAAAAGGGTTTATTGAATAGATAAGATATTTTTGAAATTTTTCTAATTGATTTTCTAATAATTTTTGATAATATCCATTGAATATTCTACAATGAATGATAATTAAAAAACCAGAAAGTTCTCGAATATTCGATGTTAAATAAGCAAATTTAGAATGAAAAGCAAATGAATATTTTTCTTGATTAAGATAATTATCAATAAACATTAAATAAGTGTTTAATTTTTTACAAACATTCGATACATTTAATGTTGTTGAGGATGAAATAATTCGAAAATGATCAGTACCCATTAACCAAATGAATAAGGATTCGTCAGATGATATGTATAAACCATGTGGATATTGATTATTAGTTATTGTACTGAAAAATAAATGAAATATTATCATTCAAACTATTTGGTTTTTATGATTATGAAAAGATTTTTCTCATTGAGTGTTGTTTTTACAAGTTGAATTACTTGTTGTGTCATAACAACGAGTGAGCCAAAAATTTTGAAACGAAATATTTGCTTATTTTTGACTTTATTGAAAGTGTTTTCGAGCAGTTAGAAACTATGAATTATGACTAGAGTTTTGTGTTCTTTCTGAATATAGGCTTCAGAATTTTCTTGAGACGAATGTTCATTTTTGACAAAGTTCCTATTGCTTCATTTGGATAAAAGTGACAGCGTAGTTCAATATAACATGTCATAAACAAGTGTCCACTCGAGAAAATGACTTGTTCCGATAAATTTTAGCACATTGGAAAAACAGACTTTTAGAACTTAGCAAAAATCTGTTGTTTCACTATACAATCTGATTTTCGAGATCTTTCGAAAATTTTCTCATTATTCTTGAACAAAAATAGACACAATATTTCTAATCCTATTAACAAAGAGAGTATGAAATTCTGATCATTAACTTTAGGTTTTGACTTGTCTAAGATAGTTTTAAATAAACTAAAATGAGCAAAAATTGGTACTAGAAGCTTCAAGACATATGTTCAGTCCAAAATTATTTTTTGGACTTGTCAAAGATTATCTGATTACTCTTGAACAAAAACTAAGACGAAGTTTCGATGCTCATATTTAGCAAGAGTACAAAATTATGTTTCTAGCCAACGGCTTTTGCATTCATCGGATAGACTTTCAAGAGATTCAAAAAATAAACAGATATTTTGTCTCAAAATGTTCGGCCCATCCATCATGTTCCTTATCAAAATAGAATAATAGCAAATAGTAACTCGTTCATAATGTTTTTAAAACACTAAAAAATATCACAGAAAGTTCTTAAAAAATTTTAGAATCAATTGAATCTTAAAGAAGAACATTTAACAATAATATAATGATATCGATGTTGAGAAAAATGACTCATCGGAGCAGGCATGCAGAATCTACCGGTACAATAAAAAATTTCCTCCACTATAAAATTCAATTAAAAAATAAATTTTCTCGTTGAAGTTGTTTATTCAAAAAAAAAAGCCAACTACCACTATTTAACACATTGTAAATACACATTAAAAAAAATACTACTATTCAATATTGTTGGGTTCAGGTAATCTAGTTACTTGGGCTTTTCGTAAATGATTTAAACTAACTGAAACAGGAGAAACAAGTTTTCAAACTTGATATTGTTTACTTTTTTTGTATGAAATAATCATTCAATGAATTTGCAGTCAGTATTAATTTACACCGATATCAACTCCAAAATGACACGCTAATCTTCTCGAAATTAAGTTTCCACCTATCATGCCCTCGTGATTTGGTCAAACTAAGACGATTCGAATAGAACCGCACTCGAACCACTTTTCGAAAATGAAGTCGAATCGAGCCGAATCCGAATTAATTTTCAAAAGTAAATCGAAATTGAACTGAACTGTAACCAATAAAAAAGTTCAATTCGGTCGCTCATGTCCATATATTAGTCATCCTAATGATTGTGTACGCATACGCACATACAATAGCAACTGTATTTAGTACCAGAGAAAAAACACCAAGTAGTATCATTCCATTAGGCAGAATTTTAGAAAGAAAAGAAGAGAACACGAATAGTATGTGTTTCATTAAGAATAGGTACGAAGAGGCAAAGTGAAAGAAATGGCAAGATGCAAGATAACGTAAGCAAAACTAGGTGACACTGATACTACGATAGAGGCATGGATGAGTCTTTTAGAAGTTTATTCAAAAGAAATGAAAACAGAAAAGTAAAAGATCTTATCGGTGTTATATATAAATAAACCGAGACTCGTTGAAAAATTGTCCCCATCAGAGAAAATACTTATCAAAAACTTTTCTCAGATGTTACTAAATTTTTAAAAATTTTCCCGAACAGGCGTTCGCGCACATGCATAGATTCTGCACGCTTGTTTGACATGCACTAAACTCAAATCATCTGAGAATTTGGATTCAATACTAAAAGTCATCAGTTTCTAGATAACATTTTCCTTAACATGAGAATTCAAAGAGGTGCTTCTTTTTCAATGAACTTCACACTCATTGTAGTTAGCATCTCTTGAATTCTTTATATAGAAATACATGAAAGACAATGTCTGAAAGATTAGGTTGAATTAACAAAAGGAATGGGTAAGAAGAATGTAATAGAAATTCTATCGAAAATTTCATTTAATTCGAAGCATTTTGAACAGCGAGCGAAAATCAAATTATGTGACAGAAAACTATAAAAGAAGTTGAATAAAATGATAGAAAGCTCGCATGTATGGTTTGAACTGTTCAAGAGTTATTTACGCTCTTTTTCATGACGGACTTTTGGAATACTCTGTATATGTAATACAAACAAATCAATGTATCATAAAAAGATTATCAATAAATTAAAGAAATTCTTCTATTTCGATCTTTATAAAATGTTTTCTACTTTCTTAAACAAAAAATTGATTTGTCACTCACTGATTATTGTCGATCATGGAATTTGCTAATATTTGCAAATGTTTTTTAGTAAATTGTTCTGCCTTTATATATTGACCTTGATATTGTATAATAATATTTTCTACAAGTTTATTTATTAATAATTCAAGTTGATTATTATAAGATAATAATTGAAATGAATAATTATTTAGATTTCGAATAGCTGCAATAGAAAATAATTGAACAGATGAATGTGAAAAATTTATTGAAAACTTATTTAAATCTTCTATATTATTATTATAATGAGATATAGATGGTAATGTATGAATATCAACTTGATAATAATCCATAATACATGGCCATAATAAAATTTTAAATTTTGTATAACATTCTCCATCCAATGGTTGAAATCTATGCAGGAACAAAAAAATAAATTAAGGAAGTTTAGGCTTCTGCTTGGATACAACTTATCCGAAAATTCTCTCAAAAATGTTTGCGTTAGTCAGACAGATACATAAAAGCAATATATATATACATGAGTGTTTTTTTCATCAAAATGATATAATATGATCTTTTGAATAAACCTTAGTGCTCATGTACTTGATCATTTTATTGTATAATTTATTATAAATATTAACAATAATCTATCTTTTTAATGCATACCAACTATTCTCAAGTTTTCACATTTATATCTGTATAATAAAAAATACTTTGAAACAATTAAATGATCAAAATGTGCGTAGATGTTATCTCGAGCACTCGAACCTACTAGCGATTTTACACCTCAGTCGAGAGCTGAGTTACTGGACACAAATGATATCATATTAGAGTATTGATGGAATTGGAACAGTTTTGTCCTACAGATAACCCAACACTTTTACACTTCACATTCAAATTTTCATACCAAAACTGTCAGTCTAATCAGACTAAAGCTGCTGACCTGTGTGTGATTTAATATTATTTTCCGTAGTGTAACCCGAAACATAAGATGGCACCAAAAGCTCATGATTTTGTGGATCATACCTTTCACCTCTTCATTGTATACCTAATCATATGTTGTTTTTCTATCATAATTATATTTTTTCCTAATATGTGAAATAGTGCTGATGTATTGAGGTATGAAAATAAAAGTTTACTCACACAACGCATTTCTTCAGAATTGTGACTTATTTGTTTTTCAAGATGTGTATTTTTTTTTCTACTGATAACTATTCATCTGATAATGAAACATACCCGAAAATTGTTTCATTAGATTGATCTAGACATTGATAAAATGTGTTATTACAATTAGTGTTTTTACACATTAGTGACCAAATTTCATTTGAATTTAAATATAGAAAATATTTTTGTGCAAGACTTATTTTTAATTTTAAAGGACGAGATATAGTTTTCAATAATGATTTATTTTCATTAATTATTAATTTCATTAAAGCTATTTCACGAAATAAATCATTTTTTATTGATAAACAATAAGAATAATCTATATCAGATTTATCCCAATTATTTATAGAACTTCTTTTTGTTAATAGTAACTGTTGATTTGCTAATCGATGCGCATTAAAACGTACTAAATCAAGATCTAAAGGAGCTTCATGATCATAAGCATCCGATAAACGACATTCAGTTATGTCTTGAAAATAAGGTATCGACATTTAATAATAATTCGATAAAAAAAATAAAAAGCGGTAAAAATTTAAACTGATTTTCAATTTATATTTATTTTAAAGCAAAAAAAAAAAAGTAACTATCGATTTACTTTGCATATATTCTAATTTTTTATTATATCAGCTCTTGTTTAGTCTATGAATAGAATAAAATTTAGAAAAAGTACATTAGGTATTTCATTTTGATTTCATTACAAACACATACAAATAACATTTTATGTAAATAATATCTTACGTTTGCATTTCTTTTTCTATTCTCTAAAATAAAGAATATTTCAAATCAGAAGTCATCAATCTTCTGTTTATTTAGTTGCACACACACACACAGGTTCTTTTTACTCCAATAAAATAGACATATACAACAACAATCAATAGAAAAGAAAAAAAAAATAAGACGAAAGAAACAATATATTATTTATAAATATATTCATATTTATTTGTTTGTTCTTGTATCAAATTGACTCCATTTTATACATTTATCTATCATATCCATGGATGGTCCGATCGGGATAGGAGGTGTGACATCCCTCAATCAAGAAAACTTTTTTTTGTCTCTAGTAGAGACGAAAATTTTTCGTCCATTAAAGAAAAAAGTCTTTACATCCTCCCCCCACCTCACAATGTTTGCTGCCTCTGACCGGCCCCAGTCATTATCGACCAACTTTTTCTTTTTCACATATCATTTCAACGAAAGAATTATTGATAGCTATTGTGGTCATATAAATAGGCAACAAGTATCTTGTATATATCAGATATTTCACAATAGACATCAATTGTCACTAAGCAAAAGGTTATCATTGTCAATTAATCAAAATCCGACGAAAAACAACAGACATTAGGCGTCATCGAGAAAAGAAAGTTCTTCCAGACAGCTGATCAATCCAAGTGCTTTGCTAAGTGCATACAAATACTTGTAATTCCTTTTTTTGTTTTCTTCATGTCCTGTTATTGATTAATGTTGCTCACTCTTATATGTATACCAAATAGAAAAAAAAAACGGAATAAACAATAACAAAAACATGTTTATTTGGATTAATACAAAGAAAAGAATAAAAAATTTTTATGGCGGTTTCTTTGTGTAATAGAACAATATAACGATCATAAAAAAGAAAATCGAGAGAGAAAAATACGAAGAATACAGCAAAGATAAAAATTCATGATTGTCTCCATAAAAGATGAAAACAACGTACACAGATATATATTCAGCAGTAAAATGATATTATCTATTGATTTAATTGTGAATAATCAAATAGTATGTCTCCGACGAGACAAATAACATACCTACTCAAAATGCATGAAGGCAGGTCCGCCTTTTCGTTCTCTTCATTCACTATGATGTATGCTCTTTCTCGCTCTCTTCTTCGTTGTTTCTTTCCGTCTGATGTTTTGTTCTGTTTTTCCTTTTTCTTTGCAACGATAATGTGTCTGTATGCAACAACAATCTATCCGTTCGTCGAGCACGCGAAAGCAGCAAGAGAAACACATACACACTAAACTACTATCACTACTACACAAAAGACACGCAGTCATACGCGCATTAAAGTCGTTGTCGTCATTCTTTTGTTGTCTATTTTTGTCATCTGTTTTCGTCGTCTATACCGTCGTTTATATTTGTATATATACATTCTTTATTTATGATGCGTGTCCATAACTAATATATAAGTTACGAATGAATGAAAGAAGCACATATATATGTATACCAAATAAATCTATGGATATAACAGATTTTTTTACAATTGAAACTCCACCATCGTCATCAACAAGTAAAGATTCAACAGATGAATCATTATCATCATTTCAATCAAAAAATAAATTTAAATTATCAAAAACAAATATCGAACAAAAATCAAATGATTCTAATATTTGTTCAACATTAAAATCTACTTTAATATCAAATTCAATTCCAATCAAAGATGATGAGGTAATCTTTCTTACTATTTTTAAATAAAGAATTCTTATCATTAGTAAACAAAACAACTTTTTGAAAACCAAAAATAGAATATATACTTATAAAAATAACCTTAATTCATCATAATTTGACAGTTTATAGAACGCCTACAATAATTATCAACTGTTGATAAGTAGAATTTCTTCTATAATTTTCTACATTCGTACGTCATAAAGGATATATTATGATAATCGTACCGATAAGATTATAATGTACATTGGATTATTTTTTTTTCCTTTTTTCTTTTGTTTCTAAGTTAGCTGAAAAAAAACCTATAAAACAATCAGAAGACCAAATAATGAATCTATTACAATTCAATAGATTTTTACGCTCGTAAAAAAATGACTTATTACATTGGGAATAAAAGAAATAACATTTTTCGATAAGGATTACAGTAATCCTTTTTTTTTTCGTAATAAATAACAAAAATGTATGGTTTCTTATTTATTATCAGATTGATAGTATACATTAAGTTACAAACTCTTGCTAGAATATAATTCTGTAGAAAGAAAAAACCTAGAATATTTCTTCTATTAATATAATAGAATATTGTAAATTAAGTTAAGATGATTATAAAAGTGTTTGTATATATTTATATTAATAAATATATTCATAAATAACTTTAAGAAATAGAACAAAAAATAAATTGAGGTCATCATGAACTCAATATATTTCGTCATTGTTGATAGTTTTTTTTCTTCTCTTTTTGGTATTAAATACTGATAAGAGTGTTTGAAGAGAACAAAGAGAAAAGAAACAATTTATGAATACGTAAATATATTTTTCAGTTAAATTATTCCTTTGTAGTCTCGATTTATGATTAATTTTATACGACTTTTACAATGGGTGATAACCTTCATTCCATGTATTTTTCTTCAGATGAATGAAGAAGACACATATAACCTTTTGTGCTTCAGGCCATAAAATTATTTAGATGAATAGAAATGTAATTCTGCCACAATATGATCATCCTTGTATCATATAATGCTATTTATATATATATATATAATTGAGTTCAAACAGTTGAATAAGTTTATGTTATGTATTCTTCCAGTTTGACGAATATGAACATAAAAACAATATTTGATTTGATTATGAACGAACTAAAATGTTGTAAATAATTTACTCATTTGTTATTCTACACATGATTTGATATCTATAGAGGCAGACTGACACTGACAATAAGCATAGAGTAAAAATAATAAAAAAGAACCATTATTGAATTAGCCGAAAATAGGACACAAGAAAAAAAAAAGAAGTAATATATTAGTTTTTATATTTTTTTCCATCCGACAAATATTGATCGCTCTATCACATATATTCAATATGAATACATGGTTTTTTTCTTGATTAAACATATGTCAAAGAGTACTTAATTGTATAGACTAAGAATTATTATATGACTAAATATTTATTTTCTGCTCATGATATTCAATCAAATTAATATCCGGTTCTTTAACCAGCTGACAATGAGTAATAATAAATATTAATTGACAGTGTAACATATTTAAATAAATAAAAAGTTTTAGAAAAACAAATACAATTCATTCCATTGAATAATGTTCTTGCTTTAATATCCATGTATATAGTTTAAAAGCACAAGTGTGCCAGTCATCATAGAAAAGAGAGACAGAGAGAGCGAAAAGAATGCGTCGCTTAAAAATATTGCTTATATAAATCCCCTTGTATTTTTTTGAATTCATCGCTAAAAAAAGACAGAGAATGAGAGAGAGATAAAGTTAGTCATTATTGTAAAAGAAGAGGTGAAAATTTCAAGCACTCGTAAATACAAACTGCTGACAACATAACAAAATATGGCGTTAATAATAAGACCGGTAAGTATTGTACCCAATCAAAAGGAAACAAATGAATTTTTATTTAGATAGAAAAAAAAAAAACTTTTTTTTTGGTTTCGCATAAAAATAGATTACCTTATTGTCGAAACGTATGTTTTGTTAATGTATTTGTTTTTCTAAAAAAAGAAAGTCTATGAATATATTGCTTCTTAGTTTCGTCCTTCAAGTGCTGTTTCGAATTTCAATTAAGGAAAAAACTTGCATATTTGAAAATAAAAAGATTCTTCTTCTTCTTCTATTTCTTTTTGTTTTAACTTTTTATTCGTCATATTTTCATTGATTATAAGATTATGTAGTCAAAATATATTTCTTATTTAAAGTCTAAAAAAATATTTTATTAAACAATATTTTGAATTATTCATTAATATAAATCATAAATTGGATTCTTTAATCTAATATTAGCATAATTTATATTGAAACCTATATTTGAATATATCATGCAAATGAAATTTTGTTTAGAAGAAAAGGAAAAATATATTAAAAACAAAACTACTTTCACCATCAATTTCAATCTTCAAAGAAACTATTATTAATTTATATTCATAGATATGTAAACTTAATGTATGGAATATATTTTACTTTTTCTTGTTTTTTTAAAGATTCTTACCGAAAAAAAGAAGACAATATTTAGTCATTAAATATTTATTTAATTTTAGTTTGATTTTTCATCATATGATGATAGTCATACACCATTACGTCGTACTCTCGGTAATACAAAATTAAAAACTCGTCAAGATGTTCGTCGTTTTCGTAAATTTTTAAGACGTAATTATGAATTATCATCAATGGCACTTGTTGATATTGATCCTGATACAATGCGTACTTATTTAATACATTATTTAACATCAATTCGAACACGTAAAGGTTCAAAATATGATCCTGAAACATTACGATCATATTATTTAAGTATACAAAGATTTTTAAAAGATTCAAATTATCCATATTGTTTACGTAATTCACCACAATTTTCTCAATGTCGAGATTTAATTATTCAAATGAGAAAAGAAAAAAATCAAATAAAAACACATGATTTATCATTAACAGAAACAACTGAAATAAAAAATAAACGAATAACAACGAAAAAAATTTCAACAATACAACAAATCTATCAAACACCAGTGAATTATAATTCTGAAAAGCAACAAAAACAAAAACAAGAAATTCAACTTGATGATCAATCAAAGTAAATAATAATAATTTTTAATTGTTTATTTCGACTTTTTTCTTTTATTTTGTTTTATTTTTGAAGTTCTCTAAAAACTACTGTTTCAATAGCATCAAATAATTGTCTTATATCAACAAAAGATCTTCTTCCATCATCATCACTTCCACCACGTAAACGACAACAAATGAAATATTTTCTTGAATTTGGTTCACCACATGATTTTATTCTTCTACCAAAAAAATCATTAACAATACAATCACCATCATGTATTCTTTCATCAGATGCATATTTACTTCTTGTTAAATTTACTCATTTATCATCATCATCATTTATATTTCTTTCATCATTAAATTCTTCTTCTGATCATCGTTTTATTCATCATTTTGAAAAATTACTTGATGAATCACCAGCATGTGGATATATTCAACGTTTAATGTTAACAACATTATGTCATGAATGGACAGGTGATATACGTCTTATTCATGCTAATCTTCGACCAGAACTTAATTCCTTTTTACCTCATATATTAGTTCTTAATATTCTTTCATCGAAATATTCTTGTTAGAAAGAAAAAAGGAAAAAATTATCCATTTGATGATATGGTGCTATCTCAAATTTGAAATACTTTATGGTTTTAAAAAAACCAAGAACAGCAAAAAAATATAAAGTGAATATTCATTAAAATCAATTGAATTTCTTATTTATGTAGATTTCATCTTGGACTTAAAAAGTCACATTACAAAAAGAAAAAAAAAACAAAACAATAAGTTTGTGATTTGTGTGATATTCTTCTTCTTCTTCATTCATAGTCGGTTTATTTGTCTCTCTTCATTGTCATTTGGTGACAATTGAATCAAATACTCTTTTTCTCTTTCATGTATTTTTAAATCAATGCATGATGTTAATTGTAACGAGTTATTACTGACTCTTGTTCTTTGCCTTCATTTTTTTTTAATGTATTATTTTATTTTATTTTTATTGTCAATAAGAAATTCTATTTGAACTTGCTTGTTAAAATATCAAAGAACGCTTTCCTTTTCGAAACGTAATATACCCGTGAACAATTCAGTTTTGGTTTGTTTGTTTGTTTGTTTGTTTGTTTTGTTCCAATGCTTTTGTTTTGGTTAAATGTCCAATGTTGTTTGTCATAAGAATATTTTATAAAATAATATTATACAATTTCGTTCAGTGATTTAAATAGCAGAACAAAAAAGTTTCTTTTTATATTGTTATGATACCACTTTTTGAATAGATCGACATTTTCTTTCAATTATTGCTTATGATGAATTCATTCTTTTTCTGCTTGTTTGACATGTAATATGTCGTAAAACTTATCATTAATTCAAATGAATCGACAGAAATCAGGAAAAACTAATAATAGAAGAAAAATAAATATAAAAACTTTTATTTTTCAATATTGTTATCGGTTTATTTATAGAAGATAGGTTGATCATACTCTAGTATAATAAAAAGAGTTTATTTTCTTCCAGATGTTTCAATAGTTAAAGTTATGTGAAAAATATCATGAACTATAAAGCTAGAGCAATATTTAAAATTCGAATTTATTCTAAACAATAGAAAAATCTATTAATTTCTAAATCTTTAACAATTTTATTTTATAAGTTAAATATATTTTGCCAAAGTCAGATTGACAATAATTATTTTTGAAACTACGTCTTCTAATAATTTTTTTTCTAAACATCACTTTACTGAAATTTCATTAGTTAGAGTATCGAAACAAAGAATCTTCTGTTCAATACAATGTAGATTGGTTTTTTTTTCAAGATATAAGTACAAATTCCTTTAGTTTATTAAGTAAATGTCATTCTGACTTTTCGAAATTTCTAAACGTTTTTTAATGATATTTTCAACATAAGTATAACGTGAGCAACATTTTAATGGATGTCATCAAAATGATTTGACTTTGAACCATGCTTCTATTATAAGATATTAATTACTTTTAAAAATTACATTGTTCTTTTCAAACAACAGGAAATTGGGCAATTATATTTCGTAAGTAGAAAAGAATTATGAACACAAACGATATTACATGTTCTTTTATCTCATTGAAATGTAATCATGAATTCAAAACATTAAATCATTAGGATAATTCTTTTGAGAATTAGACGATACAAAAAAAAAGAAAGAAAAAATATTAAAGCTTTTAATAGTATCGAAGAAAAAAAATTTATTGATGCAAGACAAATCTTTTAAAATAAATAACAAACCAACTACTTTTTTTCATTTAATTAAAGCTACTGGCACATACTTGCCCTTACTTTAGAAGCCTTAGGTCAGGACAGCTCTTTGACGTCAATTGTCAATACTTAACAAAGCTTTGAAAACGTTTCTAAAATTCAATATTAACAATCCGAGAACTACGCAAAATAATATCAGAGGAACTTCTACCGTTAGCCATAATTATACAGTTGATAAATTTTTATAGAAAAATCCTTGAAGTGAAACAAATTGCTCATAGTCTAATGAAAAATAAGGTCTATTTAACCAAACATCCATATCGATTCATTTGACTGAGATAAATTTTAATTTATATAACTGACCAACACATAATTTTCAGCCAATATCATCTTTAGCGTTTTGTTTTAAATTATTTCTATTATATTGAAAAAAAAGAATGTGCATATAAATTTGGCTTTTTCTTTTCGATTAAGCCAAGTAAAAGATATAGATTTTTAAGAAAATACACACCCAAGAAAAAGAAATAGTTAATTCAATCAGCAATATAAATAATTTGATGTTTTTCTAATAGATCAATATCTTTTTCAAGTAATTTCATTTGATGTTCAAGACGTTCTTTATATAATCGTTTTGGAATTGTATCAATAATAACTGAAAGTGTTTGATATTCATGATGAACATCTTCCCATTGTTTTTTCAAACCTAAAATTATAAAAACAACTGTTAACGAAATCTCTGTGGAATTGAAATGTGAAACACGATGCAACTGCTGTTACTAATCACATGAGATTACTTTATTCTATCTATTTTCGGACACATTTCTTTCATTATCCTTTTACTTAATGCTTCAAAAATGCAATAAGAAAATAGTTCAAATAGTATAGAACGAGATGTTATTGATATATGGTCTGTACTGCTCTCAAGCTAGCATCTGCTACTATCTGTGGAGAGAGGGGTTTGAAATTTCTACCCTATATACTTCAATACTCCTTTTAGATCGTGTTTCACAAAGTAATTAATTCAAAATAGAAAAAAGAAGGCCTATTTTTTTTTCTACAAACAAACCATCAAGAATTGTTTGTCGTTCATTATTATCCATTTCGCGCATAGCTCCACGACGAAAATAATCTGAAACATAAACTTGATATTCTTGTTTAGCTTTTTCCATATCTGCTCGACGTGATTTTATATAAACGGGTACTTCACCAAAATTCTAAATATTAATTATGATGAATTAACAAATTAATAAATAAAAAAAAAAAAAGAAAAGAAATACTTTTTTCAATATGTATTTTGGTGTTAAACCACTTGGATCAATAGGAAATTTATCACCATATCGATCATCAACAATATTTCGTTCGGGTTTTTTTGGTACTGTCATAACAACGTCAAGTGCATTTGTTTGAATGAAATTTTTTTCTGTTCGTGCACCCATTTTAGGAGCATCACGAATACTTGGAACAGGTGGTTTACGTTGTGAATGATCTTTGCTTGGTGATGTATCTTTATCTATATCCAAAAAGAAATGTATTTTTTAAAGAAAATAAAAAGTAAAAGTAAAATTTACGCCTATTCGAATCATTCTGTTTAGTATCATTTTGATGTTTTTTAAGAAAATGTTGTGGATCGGGAACTGGTTCTTCAGCATAACCCATTGTTCGATGTTTAGATTTACCTTCTTTAAATGATTCACGGGCATTTTGATGAAATTTTGATACATAACTATTAGAAAAAAAAAGCTTAATTAAATAAGAAATAAAAATTATCTGTGGAAATATACCCAGATGCTTTTGATACATGAACTTCAGTTCGTGGTATTAAATTATAGACTGATTCTTCTTGTTGATTTTTATTATTTTGTCCGACTACCATTATTTTATTATATTTTTTTCGGAAAACAGTACGATAAAATGATCATGGATAGTTATTGATTATTCTAACATATCAATATGTTAATGTTTCTAAGCAACGTTTCAATTAAAATGGAATCTTAGTTAAATCACAGAATAATTCAAACAAATAAAAGAATATATTAGTCATTTCATTATTAATTAAAATCTAACTTTAAAACATTTGTTTTTGAATGTTTTAGGAGGCCGCTAGTTTACAGATGTTTTATTAAAATAAAATATCTGTTAGAATGTTTGATAATCATCAAATTATTGTCTAGCGACGGTGCCAGGATTTTTTTGATCAGAAGACGAGCTTCTCCCCCTCAGCCTTTCTATAGGAATACCTTTAGAAATTTTCGGATCGATCGGAGGGGCTCAGTCTTCTTTTGTGCCCTGGAGCACCGCCACTATTACTATCATTGACTGCATCGATAATTTAATAACAAAGACTTTTTTCAAATTAACAAAAGATTATTTCCTTCATTGACATTTTTATTGTTTTTTTACGTCATAGAAAAACCAAAAAATAGTTTAAACAATCCTTTTTTGAAATAGTAAACAAGTATAATATATTACAAAGAAGTAATAATTGTAGGAAAATTGCAATTAAATGAAAACATTCAAATGAATATGTCTCGCTATGAATGGTTTCGAAAACTTTTGAAGAAGTCAATGTATATATTCATTGAATGAAGGAAATAACACGCCTGATATTTTATATCTGTATAGAATAAGAAGAAAATTGAGCACAGAGCTGCCGATCTAGCTGGCACCTATTAGATCGTCAGGTCAAGTCAAAGTTGTTATCATTGATCTTACGTTTTGGAAATCAAGTTAAATTGATTGACAGAAGAACTTGTTTAGATCCAAAACAATTGAATCGAAAATTTGTCACGAAAACTGATTGTCTAATGTAAATGTCCTTGTCTGTAATTATAATTCTCATTTAGTCCCTAGATTTTTGTTGTATTTCTCATCAAATATTTTTTGTCGGCACGATTACATTTTTTTTTTGATGATTCCAAGCAGCACTGATATAATCATAAACATAGCGTTAATTCAAGTCTTTCTTGCATGAAAAATATCTATGACGATTATCTCTTTTTGTTTTTTAATTTGCTATGTCGTGCAAGAACTTATTATTATCTAATCTTTGAGGAAATACATTAAGTGAACAATTGAAAGTAGAATAATACACTAATGCAGAGTAATAGAGTTGGATGTATTTTGAAAAATTAGGAATATCAATCGGCATGCTCTGATCTGCAGACCAAGGCTGAAAAAAGTGGCCTATTAGTAGCTCTAATTGAGCATATTTGCATTAAATAAAAATATAATGATTTTAAAAAAATAATAGTTAAAGATATCTTCATTGAAGAAAGATTTCACTTAATTCGACATGGTATTTTTGTTTGTTTCTGCGCTTAAAAACAAATTCAGAGATTCAGTTTTCCATTCATTATATTTTCAATTCAAGATAATGCAACAATTATTTATAGGAGAAATAATGCGGAATTCCAGTAAGCATTTTTAGTTTTAGAGAAATAAAACATTTTCTTTTTATTCTTATTCATTACACATATCCAACATTATCATATTTATTTTCACTTAATTAATTATTTCTTGTATTTATTATTATTATTATTATTATCTAACTCAATACCCTTCATTGCACTAATATATGTTGAAAGTAAACTTTAGATTCTTTTTTTTCTTACGTAAAAGAGACTCATAAAAAATCTTTTTTTGTTTTAGTTAAAGATTAAAACAATATTCACGTTTTTGTTATTATTCATTGTATAAATTTCATACAATATAATAAGAACAAAAGTTTTTTTTTCTTTAGATAAAGAACTACTCTTCATGAAGTAGTCTTTCGATAAACACTTTTCTTTTGATCGTAAGAAATGAAAATGAAGTGTTTATCGAAGATTTTATTTCTTCACTGTTTTTCTTTTATTTAAAAAACCTTGTTCAATATATATATTTCACATATGAAGCAATGATTACATAAATGTTATTTTAAACACATATAGATATCTATTTTCTCTATTAAATTCAATACAATAAATTTTCACTACAATTTATTTCCTTTTTTTTATTTGTTCGATTCCAAGCGAACGATAAACAAATACAAAAAAATTCAATTACAGGAAAAAAAAGAGTTTTTTTTTGTTTCTTATTAATTTTTTTTTTTTGGATCCTGTAAAAGAAAACAAATACTCACACATGCACACAAGGTGATAATATAATGGACGGTATGTCTGCAACTGTTTAAAATCACAGTGATGAACACAAAAGAAAAAAAAGTTTTTTTTTTGTTTTCAAACAAAGAATATTTTTTGGACGGAATTAAACAAGCAAACACAATTGCAAATATATGTCACACAAATCATTTTAAAGAAACGGAAGACTCTACTACCCACACACACCCACACACAAATTTATATACATAAAAAGAAAGGATTGTATTCATTATTTAGATAGTTTGAGATCAAAAGCTGTTTCTAATGATGGTAATTTAGTTGATGTTATACTTTCATTTGTAATCCACCATGATGGTCGTTTTATTCCACTACCTTTTATAGTTAAACCTGCTGAATTATTAGAAGATTCAATAATTTGTTGCTGTTGTTGTTGTTGTTGTTGTTGTGATTGATCATCATCTTCAAATAAACAATTAAATGTTGAATGTTTTGATGTATAATCAAAAGCATCGAAAGCATTATTTGTATCAGCACCGGCTGCTGCTGCTGCTTCAGCTGAAGATGTTAAATCAGATAATGCTGCATTAAAATCATTAAATAGATCATGTTCAGTTCTTGATGATAATAATGGTTGAACATCAATATCATTTGTTGTTTCACATAAATAAGCATCCCAATCAAATGTTGATGAATCTAATAAAAGCATATCAGTATCATCTAATTTTGTTCCATTTAAATTTTGTTTTGATATAACTGATGACATTGATGATGGTGAACTAGATGGTGATGGAGTTAATATAGATGATAAATCATTTATTTGTTGATTATTAAATGGTGAAATAGTTAAAGAATCAGGAGATGATGTTGGAGAAAGAAAACTACTTGGCATTCGTACATATGAACGATCAATAATTGCTGTATGACAATGAAGTGGTGATTGATTTTTTGATCCAATACATGGAAGTATTGGATCAATCCATGGTTCAGTTTTAATATTTTCATAAGATATACGAGATGAATTTTTTGTTAATGGTGTTACATTATTAGATACGATTTGATTTAATGATAATGGTGTTGATCGTTTTGAATGACGTGAACGTTTATTATGTGTAGAATTCATCAGTTGTTGTTGTTGTTGAATATGAATTAATGAACGTTGTCTTTCATAATCAGGTGATAATTTCCAAAAGCCACCTTTACCACCTCCTGCCTCTTTTTTTGTACGTGGAACTTTTATAAACCATTTATTTAATGATAAATTATGTCGAATAGAATTCTAAAATTAAAAATATTTACTAAATAAAGTATTGAAATAGTAAAAATAAAATCAAAATTACCTGCCAAGTTGGTTCCATTTTTCTAAAATATGGAAAATTTTCTGCAACCCAATCATATATCATTTGTAATGTCATTTTATCATGTCCAGATTGTTTCAAAGCAAATAATATAAGTTGAGAATATGAATAGACCGGTTTTGCTTGTGGATTTGTTTTATACATACGCCATTGGTCATCATCATCATCATTATTTATTGTTAAATCATTATTATCTGATATATCATTTGGATAAATTGAATCACGATTTGATGAAGATGAACAAGGTGATGGTTGTTCTTTACGTTTATTATTTGTTGTAGATGAAGAAGAATTTATTGGTGGCATTGTTCGTTTTAATATATTTATATCATGTAACCATGAGAGATTTGTTAGACTATCATCAAATGTATTAAGTGTTGAAGACTGTTGTTGTTGTTGTTGTTGTTGTTGAGATGTATGATGATTATTTGTTGAAGATAAACGTGGTGTATTTATATTATGTGCTGTTAGGATATTTGTACTTTCTTGTTGATTTGTTTTATTCATTGAATTAGTTTGTGATACTAATGTATAAATATTTCTTTGGATTGGCCATTGTGTCATCGATGATCTAAAATAAATATAAGAAGATTGAAATTTGTTTTATTTTCATTTCGATAAAAAAAAATGAGATTTTTTTTTTATATGTATGTTACGATACTGTTAATTTTATATGGGCTTCGGATAATGATGTTTCTATTTTCTTTTCTTTTTTTTTTCTGTTGGTACTTTTTTTTTCATAGATTCGATTAGTTAAAAAATTTAGTTAAGATGAGGTGGAAAAAGAACTAGAAAAAGAGACAAGAAAAAGAATATTCTCAATCCCTCTTGAATATGATCAAAAAATGTTTTGTAAACATACAGGTAATGCTACATACATACTCTTTGTTTTGGCCTGCTGTTTCTCAAGAGTTAAATTGCTTTTTCAATTTCATTAGATACTTTATTTCACTCAAGGATACATACAATTCTGTCTTGTCGTCATAACATATTTTTTTCTTTTTTTTCTAATTCTTTTTTTGTATCGACCTTACTAGAAGATTCATTAAGTTTATTGTCTTGTCTCGTTCATATGAAAATTAAACAAGTCCTTTTCAAGGATACTTCAATCAAGTAACTTGATGCGTATCTATTTCACATGCTTCTCTATGATGCAATTCTTTATGAGAACATCTGAAATATAGTACTATCGACCAAAGAAAAAAAAGACTTACTGACTTTTTCAACTATTTGAATAAACATAAAAGTGTTCCATGGCATAATGTTACAAAGCTCTAACAAGTCTTCATTCTATTTAATCAATTTATGTAAAAAAAAAAAAGAAGAAGAAGAAATCCTTGAGTTTTCTATGCACACATATATGCATTAAAGAATAATTAAGGCAGCCATTTTTTTTTGTCGTTCTCGTCGGAAACATGGGCCAGTAATAGAAATAAAACTGGCGAGAACGAAAGAAGTGTGAAAGAAAAAAGACGTAACAATAAAAACAAAACGTCACACTACCGGAAATATCTATAGGACATGATTGCGTGAAATCAATTATTTGCGTTAATTCCGGGTATAAACTCTAATGCACAATACCTTTTTGTCACGATGGTCAGGTGAGCCATCGGTTTTACGTCTTTGCTTTTTGTTCGTTCTTTTCTGTTACATCAATGGACGTTGACGATAGATCGAAGCGGACACTTAGACTGATTTCAGGTGTATGTATGTACGTATGTATGTATGTACGTATGTATGTATGTGTATGGAAGAATCGAAATTCTTTCTGTTTTTTTTCGATCCACACACACATACATATACAAAAGAAGGAAGAGAGAGGGAGAGAATAAAATTTCAAGCCATTCTCCTTCTTTCTCTTGTCGAACGTACATGTTCTCTCTCTCTCTTATGATGAGATCGATGATGGGATGTGTATATATTTGTAAGATGCAATAAAAGAAGCGTACGGTTAAAAAAAAAAAAAGAGAAAAAAAAAGAAGAACAACACATTCTTGAACAATAAAGGCGATATGATGAAAAACGTTATTGCCTGCGGTTTTTATGTACAAAGAAAAATGTGGATGAAAGTCAATGTAAGACTACCTGCTGAAATATACAAGTGAAGTCATAAATAACTATTCTGCTTATCTTTGAACACATGATAGAAATTTATTTGAATACTATATAGAACGATTTAGTACATAAAAAAAAAATGAATTCAAATATATATCAAAATGTAAGTTTTAAAAGTATGAATAAATAGTATTTAAAGCTCCAAGAGTCTCCTCTTGTCTGATAAATGAGTATATTAGCATAACCTTTCAGAAAGAACGAGAGAGTTGCTGATTTTATTTAGTATTTATATGTACAGATATGAATAAGAGTGAGAAAACGTAACTTGAGACACACAACTCTTATGATGAGAATTGACGAAAAAGAATCACATACCCATCATCGTCATCATCATAACGTATATATTTACATAAAAACGAGTTCCCTCTCTCTCACTCACTTTAAAATTATTATTGAACTACTTTTGCTTTTACTGACTGATGATTGTTCATGATCAACCTTCATATGGTGCAATCTGAGAAAGACTATTACGTACTGCTCTCTCTCTCTCTCTCCCTCATTTTCTCTTTCTCATATGTGAAGAAGTGTACGCGAGAGAGGATGAGAATAAGAGAAAGTGAAATCTTAGGACGGCAGCAGTAACTCAGTCTCGTAATTTTACATCATCTTTTCTTTTTTTTTCTTCTTCTTTTTGCACTCTTACATACATATTGAGAAACTCAGCTAGCTGTTCAAATATTCAGGATCAACTTTCATTTATTCGTCTAAGAAACAATGGATAAGCAAAGACGACGACGACGACGACGATAATGATGATGATGATGACTACTACTTGTCTGTTTACATAAAGAGTATACCAGAGAGTAGTACCATCTCATTGGTCTATTCAGCACTTATACGAGTTGACTCAATTATTCACCGTACTACCGTCGTTGGATACTAAAAAAAAGAGACTGTACGATATTCAGTGACCCACTTTACTATTCATTCAACTAACAGCTGAGAGCAATCAATCAAAAAGACAGACGATTTGAACTCATTGTCATTTGACAAGATCTTGTTTTGACAAAATGCAAACGATTCTTTTCTTATTCATTCAAAAGTAGATTATTAAATGAAAGACAGTAAGAGTGATAAAACTTGTTACTGACAATTGACAATGTAAATTTAAGACGTATGCTATATATATCTTCAAATATACTCTTGATTATCATACAAAAAAGAAGGGATGGAAGAGATCATAAAACAATCTATGTACTTCATATAAGTCTTAGTACAATAAACATGGCACATTATCGGTTATTTCAAATTTATCAGAAATAAAAAATAAATGACAATGTGTTATTTATTTGCTGTTTCTGTTTCTGTTTTTTTTTCTAAATTAAATTTTACTATGAATGAAAGAAAACTTGCGTCAGAAGAAATGAAAATGAATATAATGAAGTTTCATGATTATTATAAAAATCAACAAGAAAAAAAAACCAATTGTTCAACATGTTCTATCTAAAACTATTAAATTTCTACTGATAAATATACAAACATATTCTATCAACAATGATTTTGTATCATGTATGTATATATGTTCCCTTGACTTCTTGGAAACTTTGTATTAAGCACTCAGAAACAAAAAAAGTTCGTTTGTCCTATTTCCATATTAATTATTACTTCATTTGTACAAGAAAAAAAAAAGAAAAAAGAAAAATTAACATGAATCAACATCATACATCAACGTTTCGTTATCGTACTGTTCATCCTTCACTTTTGCCATCACCTGTTCCTGACAGAACTGTTTCATCAGATTGTTCTCAACAAACTAGTAATTCACATCAGCAGGCATCTGTAATCAACGATCACCAACATATTTATAAAACTTGTCATCATCATTCTTATTCTTCTATTGATAAGAACCCACATAGAAATAATCATAATAGTAATTTAATTCATGTTAATGAAATATCAAAATCAATCGATCAATGGTATGACATCTCGAAAACAACGGAGAATAATATGATACAATCTAAATGAATATTATTATCGAACAAATGAAAAATTTTCTTTATTACCAATTTATATAAATAATACTCTTCTTCTTTTAATTCATTTAATGATATTATTATTTATTATTATATTAATTATTAGTTTTATTTTTTATTATGCTATTGTTTATATTTATACAAAACCAAAAAAAAAATGAATGGAAACAAATTATTGATTGGCTTACTCAAGAATAAATTTCAAACTTTTTCTTTTTCATCAACAAAAAAGAAGTGTTTCTTTTTTTTTTTTTGTTTTATATATTTTACACATAGGAACTTTCTCATTGACATAGAAACCTTTTATTTATTCATTAAATAAAAAGAAAAAGACCATTTGCATGACAATGTATTAGTTCATTCAAGACAATTAATAAATAGAATGATAATGATAGAATCATAATAATGAAAATTGATGTCAACATTAATTATCTTGTCATCATTTCAATTTCATATTCAACTTGAAAGATATATATGTATTTTTTTAATATCATAATAGGTTTTGTGGTTTTTATTTTTACATTTTACAGATGTTTTTCTTACAAGAAAAATTTTCCAAGTAATCAATCGATTCTTTGTAGTAACATATATGACTGTATGCAGTTTACTATGCTGATTTCGAAAATCAGAGTGTTAGTGACCCTTAGGCCTTTCTAGATTTTGTATCATCACTCCGAACTTTCCCTTCTGATAAGGATATTTCTCATCCAATTCAATCTTTTAATCCGTCGATCATGTACCACCAGACAGAATATCCACACGAATACTTTTTTTATAGACACTTCGACCGTAAGTTTCAAATACTAAGCCATAAAGCAGCGAAGTAATTCCTACATTGACTACAAATAGTCATCTAACATTTCTTTTCGTTTCATCACCATATATTCACAAATTAATCAGAACTATCTTATGTTCAGCAAAGTATATAACAATGGAAGAAATAGAAAAAACGTATACTATTGTCCATTCAAAAAGTCGGTATGTGCGACTATTTTTTGAATAAGTCGAGAACAAAAAGGAGTAGAAACCAGGAGTTTCCATCATTCGAAAGAGCAATATCGAGAGTATCTATGTGTGTAAGACTCACTAAGTTCGAAAGATTCTTTCATGGTTGCTTTTAAACTGAAATTTTTTTTCTGCAGTCTTTTTTCATCGAATTTCACAAGAATTTCAACACAAATTATACACAGATATAGTCGAAACTATCCTGTATTCGTGATAAAATTTTGAGTCGCTGTTTCGATCTGTTTTTTCTCCAACAGGATTTTTTTTAACGACATGATAATTTTTGTAGAAATATAGGATGGTTTCGGCTATATTTGTGTATAATTTGAGTTGAAATTCTTGTGAAATTCGATGAAAAAAAACAGCGAAAAAAATGTCAGTTGAAAAAAGCAGCCACGAAAAAATTCTTCGAACTTAGTGAGTCTTATACAGATAGATACTTCCAATATCGCTCTTTTGAATGGTAAAAATCGCAGATTTCTTTCCTTTTTTGTTCGCGAATTATTCAAAAAATAGTCGCACATACCGATTTTTTGGATGGACAATAGTATACGTGTTTTTTATTTCTTCCATTGTTATATACTTTGCTGAATATAATATAATTATGATTAATTTATGAATATATGATAATGAAACGAGAAGAAATGTCAGGTGATTATTTGTAATCAATCTACAAATTACTTCCCTGCTTTGTAGCTTAGTATTTGAAACTTAAGGTTGAATTGTCTATAAAAAAAAGTATTCCTATGAAGATTTTGTGTAGTAGTACATGGTAGACTGTTTAAAAGATTGAATTTGATGAGAAACACTCTTATCAGAGAGAGATTCAGAGTAATGATACAGAATCTAGACAGATCTAAAAGTCGCTAACACCCTGATATTCGAAATCAGTGCAGTGGACTGCATACAATCATGTATGTTTTTACGAAAAATCGATTGATCACTTGAGAAACTTTCCTCGTTAGTATTGATATAATAACTTATGGATCGATTTTATTTAATGTGAAAGATATTAGACAATATCTAACATTTAAATGAAAGATTTCGAATGCCAATGACAACAATGAAATTGCTATGAATTACATTGAATTCTCATAGAAGATTTCTTCGAATATATGATTAAGAATGAATACATACAAACTCCATTTGTTTAATTTAATACAATTATTTAAACTTTCATCGTTTTCATCTAATACCAGATTATTACTTATAATCAATAATTTCTTAAAGCACAAGTTTAGACAACACTAGGTTCGAAGTTTTTGAATTCGTACTGAAACTTGATTTTTTTTAAACTTTGTTTTTTGAACCTACATCTGTGCTTAGACCAGAGTTGTAGTCGGGCTGGACCAGTGGGATAATGTTTGATAGATATACCAGTTTTTCCTCTGACAAAACTTATTGAGAGCCATGACTATTAGTTTTATTTTCTTCTGTTCGTTTACATTGTTGTATTTCTTTAATCGAAGTATATATCATTTTTTAAAAAGCACAATCAAAACTATGTTACTTGAGTTAAAATTATTTCATACATTTGTTTTGATTAAAGATCAAATTTAGGTTTGGATCATCGTTTGAAAAGAAATGTTAGGTTTATATAAAAAAGATGACTAGAGAAGTACTCGAGGTGATATTTCGTGTTTGATATGAGATCTCGGTCATTAGGTAGAACCTGTTGAGACTAGAAGAAGCCTAGAAGACTTCTTGTTCATGCACTGCCATTTTGGAGTTATGACTGTTACACTGAATTTTTTACCTTTAGCACAGTATTTATAAAAAACGGAAAAACGAATTTTAGCCTAAAACTTTGCTTATAGACAGTTCTTGAAATCATTAGAATCTCCTACAAATTTCAGACAAAAAGAATGGTCTCGAAATATAGAATACACAAAAAAAACCTAGATTTTCCATCTTTTTTGGTGAAATATCATGGTTTTTTGTGAATTTGATATCTCGAGAAAAGACCATTCTTTTTAGCTGAAATATTTAGAAGATTCTAATGACTTCAAGACTTGTTTATGGACAAAGTTTTAGGCTAAAAATTGTTTGCCCGGTTTTTTTTATTAATACCATGTCAAAAGTAAGAAATCCAGTATAATGGTCATAACTTCAAAATGACAGCGCACTAGTAAGAACCGTTTTAGGATTCCTCTAGTTTCAACAGGCTCTACCTGATGACTGGGGTCTCATCTCAAACACAAGGTATCACCTTGGGTAGTTTTCTCGTGAGTGAGAAAATTCAAGATTTAGAGTTTAACAATCAGTTGATGGGCAAATGATTGTTTTTTTTTCGCGCTATACATAGATATATATAAATATCACATATTCATCTTTGAGAAACCTAACAAATATAAATGACTATAATATGATATTTCTTCCTGAAGATTTGTAAAAAAAAGAACCTAAGTGCAAAAAGGAAAATGAATGTTTTCTGAAGCCATTCTGATAAATTGATTTATAAAGATTCAACAAACAGGCTAGTTTTCATCAGTCTAAAAGATTTTTCGAATTGGTCCGACCGGACAGCTTACAACTCTAACTCAGATCTATTCAATAAAAAAAAATTTGAATCTAAATTTGATAGACTCCATCGCAGTCACTGCTTCTCTCTCAGCATCAATATAATATCATAAATTGTTCGAATATTTAGTTTTTTTTTGCATTAAGTATATTGATTGGAGATGCAAAACTGTATTCTAATTTTTTGTTTTATTAATTATTATGAAAGTCTATCTATTTGATTATTAATTAATATTCACAAATCTATTCTGTAATTTCAACATTTTATAAACATGATTATTCATTAATAGATCACAATTAAAATATTTTCATAAGTATTTAGCTGAAATATAATGTTTACTAAATATTTCATTAACATAATAGAACAACAAAGAACAACAGAATGTTATAATCATCTAAAAGCTTTACAACAAAGAAAAAAACAGAAAATAATGATGAACGCTAAACGTCGGACGCGAAGAAAACTACAAGTGCTATAATAAATGACAAAGAAGAAAAGAAAAAAAAAGGCTTTTGCTTATTTTGAGTTTTTTTTGTTTTTAATTAAACGCTTCCATAGTTATTTTTCAAATCACGAAGAAGAAAAATAGCTAAGCCAAGACCAGCAATTTCAATAAAAAAGAAAAATATTGAAACACCACCTAATGCTTTTGAATATTGAAAGAAAAGATTACTAGCTGATTCATAACAACCACGATCAAAATAAACCGTACCATTTACCATAGGTTGTGTACAATCATTATTAGGACAACATGATGATGGTGGTTTACCATCTTTAGTATAATTCTTCCAATCATCAGTTTTATCAACACCACAACATGACCATTTTTGTTGAAGACGATTCCATTCAGTTATAGTATTTTCATTTCCATTTTTATAATCTGTTAATGATTCCTTTAATTCTGTATGTAATTGATCTTTAGCTTTATTGCGAAGAGTAAATGCAACAATTGCAGCAATTAATTGAAGTAAAAGTATTATAACCAATGAAACAATAAAAATTTTTAATAAATTTAAACGATTTTTATATGCTCCAATGAGACCTATTAAAATAAGAATTATATATATATATATATATTTTTTTTTTGGATTAAAATAAACTAATATCTATTTACCAAGTGCTGTTAAAACAATAATAATAACACCTAATGCAATAATAAATCCGGCACCAGAAATAAGTGAATAACCAGTAATATGCGAAACTAACAAGAACAAAACAATTCATAATTAAATAAATAAAATTGAACTTACATTGTGACGCATGTCTATGAGCTACACTACCCGTAATGAGAAGTGAAATGCCGGCAATGAAATATAATATCAAAAAGATAAGGAACAAAAGTTTATGTGAACGCATCGTTAATAGAACTTATTCGATTAAGTGACTAACGAATTTCACCTCTTTCTTATTTATATATTTAAAAATAAACGTATACAATCTAGAATAAAAGAAATATTTATAGAAGAGAATGAAACTATAGAAAAAAAAAGGAAAGAACGAGAAATTTCTATAGAGTCTAACATCGACGACAGTTAGTAAATGTTCATACGCCCGATTTGTCTTTGAAAAGAATGATGAAGACAAATTAGTGTGCTTCCTATAGCCTCGATAATGATAAGTTTCTTTGAAATATAAATTGACAAACACTAGCAAAAGCAAAAGAACAGGAAAGAAAAAATGAACGACTACAACTCTTCTAGATATTGCATTGATGGGACTAAAAATATCAAGGTCTTATTATGCCAGTAAAGTACATTTTATAGCTAGACGAATAGAAATAAAAAGAAAAAAAAAAGAAAGGCAAAAAACCTATTCGGATAAATGTAAAAAGAACGTCAAATAAAGAAGAAAATGTATGTTAGTACGTGATCAGTAAAAGCTGATAATAAGGAAATTATAAAATGCAATGAGAAAAAAAGAATAGTATTGTTTTTTTTCTCTCACGTGATGGCAACTATGCCATATTTTTTTTTACAACACACTTTTATATGTAAGCAAAAAAAAATGCAACGCATAGAATACAACCAAGATTGATTGTCGTCGAACTAGTTGGCATTACTATCGTCGATTACTTTATTGAATGTATATATATATATATATATATATGAGTATGCAAATAAATAACGAAAAAAGAGAATAAGGATATACGAGTCGGATGTTAGATTGGGTGAGTGAAGAGGCTTAATTCTTTTTTTTTTTCCTGTTCTTGCCTCTATGAGTTTATATTCTCATTTGATTTTTAGGATACTCGAAGTGCTAAAAATAAAAAATTGTTTCTTGTTCCTATGATGTAAATTGAGATAGACTTTTTGCTTTTTTTTTTCTATTCTTATCAATAGTATTAATGAATTTATGTGAATGATATATATTTTATATGTTTATCAATGATTAAGTTTGATGAATCATTGTAAATATATTACATATGTATTTATGTAATGTAATAATTTGAAACTAATCTTTGTAAACGAGATTTTTTTTTTTTATTATATATAAATCCTAGAATAAATACATACAAAAGAAAAACACAAACAACATCACATAGAATTGTAATTTAGAATTTATCAATATGAAATAATTGCATTTGAATAGAGTTTTTATTTTGTCGTGTAACTAATAGAAAATGTTTTCCAAATGAACGTATACTATTAATATTTTCACTATTAATTATATTTAATTGATCAATATGTCCATTTTGATCTAAAAGACATAAATCGATTTGATTATTATCTTGTTTTTGTTTAATTATCCAATAATTATTTAATGGTAAATAAAGCATTAAATATGAATTTTCTAATCTTCGTATATGTTGTATATTTGGAACAATAAATAAATCTAAAACATCATTATCATCATTTATTTCAACATTCATTGCAAGATAAAAATTTGAATATAATTCAATACGATGAATATCAATTGTATTTTCATTATTTGGATAAAAATCTTGTTTTGACCAACGTTTAAGTAATTCCATTTTTTCTAATGAATAATTATCAATAAATAAACCATGACCATGTTTTATTAATAATAAATCATTATTTACACTAATATATTTCATTGGATTACCATTTATTGGTTTTATCTAAAAATATAATGATTGATCATAAAACAAAATGTAGAAATGATTGGAATAGGCTAGCTCCGTCTCCACTTTTTATGTCACATCTGCGGAAATTTGAGGTGTTGTCGGAAAATTGTCTACCAACTATTAGAAGGCAAATTTTCTCAAGAGGAAATCTTTTCATGTGTCAAATCGAATTTCGAGCGAGATGATGTTCATTTGATAAATAATAGAAAAGTCTAGAATGGTTTTGTTTCTCAGACCATCGTTCTTGAGATATCGAAATTTGACTGAATTTTTTTGAATGAAAAGCTTTGGTTCTCATTCAGGTCACGTGAGAGTTTCGACTTCTAACTTTGTATGAACAAAGTTTGAAATTGAAATTCAAAAGTTGATTTTCCATATTACTCCACAACTTTTTTGTTGAAAAATCCAGTAAAATTTCAATATCTCAAGAATGAAAACTCGAAAAACCAAAGCATTCTAGACTTTTGTATTACTCATCAAAACGAAAATCGTCTCGGTCGAAAAACGATTTGACACCTGGAGAGGTTTCCTCGTCAGTTACTTTCTACCAGATAAATTGTCTCTGACTGTCTGTCAAATTTTTATCCACTTCTACTTCGAAAAACAATCGAGAGCCTTGATTAAGAAGAAAAAAATCTCTTTTTGTCTTTTGTTACTTGTGTAATTGGATAAATATTAAATGGTTCTTGAGAACAGTTAAGTGCATAAAGTGATTGAGAACAAAGAACAAGAAATGTATTTAAATATGGACACCATTTAATACATGTTATTAATGAATATTCCTTTGACCAAAAACCTCCACCAATACGTTCTTCATGATTAAATAATTCAATAGTATTACTTTCATTATTACAAACGAGTAACTAAAAAAAAAAAAACTTTTGCTTTTTTTTTTTATGAAATAAAATTTTTACATGTTTATTTGATGTATCATATAAAAGTGGAATATGATTAGAATCATTATCAATTTCAATATTAAATTGTCTAAGATAAGAACCATTCAGAATACGTTCAATATCAGGTTTTGTTTGTATTATTATTTTTGGTGATTCAATATTATTATTATATTCAAATGTATCATCATTATCTAATAAACAAGTATTTCCATTACCAAAATCAATATTTATTATTGATGTACGTGCTTCACGTATACGGATATGCATTTCATTTAATGCTAATCTTAATTCATCAAGTTCATGAGGATAAAAATCACATTTTGTTGAAAGACGTTCTAATTTTGTTGAAATATTTTCTTCAAATTCATTTGCAAGAGTTTTTTTTGTTAATTCAAAATTGGAACTAACTTTTATAAATGATTGTTCTATATCCTCTAAAAATAATTAAATTTAAATACATAAAAATCATGATGGTTTTTTTTTCTAGGAAATTTTATAAAAACGAATTAAATCACTTTCAATAATCGTCTTTAGAAATTTATAATCGGATTGATGTCTGAAATAGATTTTTTTTTGAATATGATAAAATTAATTTTTAATGATACAGAAATTATTTGTATTACATGGGATTTTGCTTGAGATTATTACGTAACAATGTCAATCATAAAACATTTAAAACTATCTGATTAAATCATATTCTATATACGAAGGTAAATTTTTTGGAAATATTTATAAAAAAAAGCGTTTTTTGTTTTGTTATATTTAATTTTAGTGATATAGGCTTATGTGCTGCATCTCAAGTTAAATGTTATATTCATTTATGTAATACGACTCATCATAAATATTGAATCTCTTTTTGTTCAACATTAGCTACTGATATTTTAAATCTCCTTTTTGTAATAATTTTAACATATTTTAATTATCATCTTCTTATTATAACAAAATCAGTTCTATCGTATTTCAAAATTTTACTTTGAAAAGAATTTCTATGAAAGTTTTTTAAAAAAAATTTCAAATGATTACCAAGAAGTTTATCGTAAATTCGTTCAATTTTATTCAACATTTGTTTTTTCCATAGAGCTAAATTTGATTGAAGTTGTTCACGAGAATCAGTAGCTTGCATTTCACTTAATGTAATATAAGTTTCACTAGCTTCCTAAAAATTTTAAAAATAAAAAAAAAAAGGATAAAAATAAACTTTATTTAAAATAATTGACTAACTTCAACAAGATTATCTCGTAAATGTTTTAATTCATCTTGATGTTGAGTTATATGAATAAGACAACATATTTGATCACAATGAACACATTCCATAAAACCATCAGCTGTACATTGTTCATTAGTTTGTTTATTAATATGATTACATTGAACTGATGGACGAAAACGTTTTAATGATCGACGATTTTTTTCAATATTAATTTGTGATGATGAAAGCATGGATGTTTCTAATACTGTATCATTTGTTAAAGACATTTCAAACTTAAATGCCTGCCTGGATATGAATAAAAGAAAAAGAAAAACTGTTGTCACTAGTCTCCTTAAACAAACGAACGAAAGAAACACGTGCTGTGCGTATGCAAATACTTGAAGGACAAAAAAAAAAATTCTTTTATGCTAAAAAAAAAATCTAATGAAGAATTCATTTGTACGATAATCGTTATTTAAAACGGTTTATATTGAAATGTCAATTTCTATAATAATTAAATGTATTCGATTGATTTATTTTAATAATTAGTTTTGCATAGAAATGATTCGATACTTTTATGATTGATTTTTATCATCCTATTTATCCAAATATGTGTCAATTCGAAGTTTTTATAATTATAAAAATGAAATAATTCATTTTTCGAATGATCGAATGAGACAAAAGAAAATAAATGACTGTACATAAATTGAGTACACACGATCAATTTTTTAACTGTTCGATACACTTGGAAATTTCAAGTAGAAATATGTTGAGAATCATTTGAACAAGTCTTTTATCTGTATTTTCTTTCTCATATTCAGATTGTTATATAACTGTTTAAAAAAAAACCATACAAATATTGTTTTGTGAGTATTGATTTTGGTAGGTATATCACAATGAATCATTTCATTGTTTGAGTAATAGTTCACAAAGAGTATTATATAAGAACATCATTTTTAATTTTTTGTTCATTCATGTTTGGAAGAAATCACAGAAGAATATCATTTTCTCATTGATAATGTTTAATTAATACTAATATGATAAAAATCTTTGATTAAAAAAGAACATTTCAGTTTGTTAATGTGTTTTTGATTTTCTACTTTCAGTCTTACATTTTACAATTGGTCAAATACTTTTTGTTTGATTTAGATCTGCATTACTGAGTGATCAGTTGATTGTTTGAAATACATTATCAGTAATAAATCGTTTATCAATATTACTTATGTATTTGAGGATTATTATTCTATTGAAAACGTGCTAGTTTTAACGAAATTGGTTTAGAAAAGAACTAAAATGTTAAATAATATTACGTCTCTTCAGATTTTCGATACATTTCTCAAGTATTACTTCATTATTACAACGATTGCTGCTTTGATATTCGATTAAATTCATTGTTTTTTAATTTTTTGATATTATAAAAATAGATAATTTATAAATATCTTTGTTGTTCGTTTTGGAATGCTAGCTGATCTTATGTCTTTGCAATAATACAATATGAATATAATAACAGAAGAAATTTAACATATTTAATATATATATTAAAAACAATACAAACCGGACTTTTGAAAGATTATTTCTTTTTCCAATGATCGAAGAATTATTATCCAACAAAAAAAAAGAAACAATAAAGTCTATCATTGTCTTATATAACACATCAACGCTAAAAGAAAAAGATTTTTTAATTATATGTCAGCAACTTCCGGGATTTTATTTTTCAATATTTATCGAGACTTTTCCATAAACTACCTCTATATATATATATAATGATCAGACGGGAGGGATTAGACCGAGAACAAGTTCCTAGTTGAGAGCGAGGGCAAGGTCAACACTCAAGACTATATACTAAATGTAGGTGAGGGCTAACTAGTCTAAAGTATGACTCCTTGTTTTTGCTACAATTAATTTGTATTATATGCTATCAATATATAAATCCGCTGGTTTAAATAAATCCAATAAATCTTCAAAAAATAAATCCGGTAGATCCGTCGTATCAACACAATAATGCTATTTCCACAGATGAATGCTTTCTTTTTTTACAAAAAGAATTTATAATGAATAGTTAATTAAAAATAAGATTTAATAAACATTTATGATTAGTTGTAGAAAAAAAAACAACATAATGTATTAAATAGTTTCTGCATTTTATTTAGTGTTAAATTTTTCCGGAAAAAATACAACATAAACATTATAAAAAGTTTGACGAACAAGTATAACTCTCAAGCGTGTATGGTCGACAAATAAATCTTGTGGATTTATGTTATTATTTAATTTGAATAGGATAGATAATTTTAAGTTTGATCATTCGTTTTTAAATTTATAAACAAATTATTACAAAATTAGATCTTATATTTTTATGGTAGCAGTAATAAAACTCAATTAAACTTACCAATGTGCCTGACCATATACTTTTCATTATATATTATTCAAGCAATTTCCGATCAGTATACACTTAGAGAAAAGAAAAAAATACTTGCCTTGTTGATGATTATAATGCATAAAAAAAAGAATGATTTTGTTACTTGTCACACTTGCATGTTTCTTTTCAAGCCGATCGAAATAAAAATATTCACACAAAATATCAGTTATGCACGAAGAAATACAGGTAAGCAGTTGTCAAAAAAAAGAAGTAGACGCAAATGACATGATTGAACAAAATAATATATAGTATCATACGATAAAAGCATGTTTCGATGATGTGTTCCTAAAATCCAGAATAAAAAGAAACATCTGTTCACATGAAAGCAATCGATAAATCAAAAGTATATGTAAAAGTATTTTGATATTACATATATAGCGAATAGAAAACATTTTTGATAAAAAGAAATCGCATTCTATTAAATTATATAAGAGAAAATCTCTTTTTTTTTGCACAATAAAGATACAAATTAATTATTATTTTGATGTATTAATTATGTTTTATTTAATGTTTTTTTGATTAGATTAATATGCAAGATCAGTCTTTTGTATTTGATAGGTTTTATTTATGAAAAATTTTATATTTTAGATTAAATATTATGAATACATCTATTATAGAAATGTTATATTCCTTATTTTCAATTTATTGGTATATTCTTCCTATTATTTTTATTCTTTTCTATATACTACGCCGATGGATGGAAACAAAAAACATTGTTCGACCAGCTCGTCGAGGTATTGATCGATCTCAAACATATCCTCGTCAATATCCATGTGGTTGGTATCGTATTTGTGATTCTGATGAAATTACTAAACGAGGTCAAATTAAACACGCATATATATTGGGTCGAGAAATGGTTATTTTTCGTTCTGACGATAAACATAATCAAATGTATGTCTTAGATGCATTCTGTGCTCATATGGGAGCAAATTTAGCTTTTGGTGGACGAGTTATACCAGATACAAATTGTATTCAATGTCCTTTTCATTTATGGGAATATAATGGAGAAACTGGTCATTGCACAAAAATTCCATATATAGATGGAAAAATACCTGAAAAAGTAAAAAAACAAACACAATATATTTTTATTTGTTAAAATGAAAAAAAGAAATGAATTCATTGATTTTTCTTAGTGTAAAGTGCAAACATATCCATGTGTTGAACGTCATGGAATGATAATGATTTGGTATCATCCATTAAATGAATCTCCTCATTATGATGCTATTTGTATTGATGAATTATTAGGTAATCATTTTGAATTTCGTGGTGTGTATCGTTATCCAAATATTCATATGCATTTACAAGAATTTTCTGAAAATGCAGCTGATGTTCAACATTTTCAACCACTACATGGTAAAATGTGTATACCATGGACTCAATTGCACATACCACATGTATTCGTTCATCATCAAGCATCATTAGAATTTAGTACTGATAAATCATATATAGTATATTTTTATGATACAGCAATGTTAAAATTATTTGGAAAAATTTATGAATCAACTAAAGTTGATGCATCAATAACATTTTATGGTCCTGGTGGAATAACATTATTTCGTTTTGATGGAAAATTTGGAAGAGTTTATTTATTTCATACTCATACACCAACGAATTATACAGAATTAGATGTTGAATTTCGAGCTTATGTTGAAAAAAAAATACCACGATTATTAAGTTGGTATATTATTGGAAATTGGATTGCACAATGGCATCGAGATATTATTGTTTGGGAAAATAAAGTAAGAATAAATGAAAAAAAAAAAACAAATATAAATATTCTATAGAAATATTTTCTTTTAGATATTTAAACGTACTCCATTTCTTGTTAAAAAGGATGGTCCAATATTAAAAATGCGTCGTTGGTATAATCAATTTTATCTTTCAAAAGAAGAATTAGAAAATTTTACTGACTCACTTGATTGGTAACATTTAGTTAAGAATTTTTAAATCAGTTAGTTTTATTTTTTAAGAAATATAAAAAATTCATATTAAGATAAGCACAAATCCGTTTATGATTAATTATGAATAAAAAAAAACAAGCAAAGGATTAATATGAAAAGAAAAAATATTTTGTAAAAGAAAAGATTTGTCATTCAGTAGAGAAGAAGAAGAAGAAGAAGAAGAAGAAGAAGAAAGGAAAGTATCTCTCGTAGATGTGCATAACAAATCAATAAAAAAAAGTACAGTCTATGGGCTGTTTTTATTCATCATTGAAGTGTAGTAAGACGCAATATTCATTTACTACAGAAGAAATATTATATTTAAATGAAACATGGAATATTTTAAAAACAACAGGTATTGTTAAATTTGCTGATGATGTTCTTATCAGGTAGAGAAATTCTAAAATGAAAAAAAAAAAAAAGAAAATTTTTATTTAGAACTATAAATCAAAATTCATCTCTACGACAGTTTTGGACATCAAAAATTATCATTGATGCTAATAATTTTGATTTTGGTGTAGGTGAATCATGTATAAGAACTGATTTAAGTTGGCATATTGGATTACGTGAACATAGTGCTCATTTGATTTTAACATTAGAAAAACTTTTATCGTCAATTCATGATAAAAATCTTCTTTCAAGACAAATTCAATCTCTTCAATTTTTACAAAATATATCTACACTTGAACATGATTCTTTAATAGTATATTTTCAAAAAATATTATTATTATTATTATTATTATTATTATCTAATATTACTGTTTTCTTTTTATTTTAATTTAGATATTCAAAATATGTATTATCGATATAATTCGCGAACGTTTTCAAATATTCACATATGATTTTACAAATGATTATGAACAAGCATGGGATAAATTTTTATCATTTATTCTTGAATATTTAGCAGCAAAAGATCATACAATACAAGCACCTATGAACAACCTTATTTCACCTATAATAATCATAAATCAACCATCAACTCATACATCAAATTCATAAAATCATCAAATAAATTGTTTACATCAACATAACACAAAAAAAAAAAGAAACGAAAGGATTCTAATTTTAATATTATAAATGACTAAGAGAAAAGAAGATTATGACAATCTTGTCTGAAATATAAAACTTTTTATTGAATTGTTTTAATAGTAAGTTTTATGTCAACAAGTTTTACTAGACATTGTAAGTTGTATTAGTTAATACAGGAATTGAAGAACATTTTTGAGACAAAATTTGAATGAAGATCTTATAGAGATTATAGTCGTAAGACTTCAAAAAATTCTGAAGTAATTCTCAAACACATGGTTCACACGATATTTAGTCGAATATGGATAGCTAAAACCGTTGTCAATCTATGAGTTGAGACAAAATGAGTTATTATTAACAGTTAATAAAGATGTTCAAAAGTACTACCTTCTATCATTGATCAGTCTGAACAAATTAGGTAAATATGAATTAATTTTTGGTAGTACTTTCTCAATTACAGGACTAGCTTTAACAAGTACATATAACACTTTAGACTAGTCAGATCGCTTGTTTTTTGCTATTGTTTTAAATATCTAACAAAAAGATGAGCGTGAGATGTTTTTCATTTGATATCTCTATGTGTGTATCATCATAAATTATAAGTAATATTTTGTTTTTTATCATGCAACAAATATTAAAAGTATGCAGTTACTAACAAACTGAATGAGATAATGCTAAAATTATTCAATTAATAAAAATTAAAAGTTTCATTATATTCAAATTTTAATCTTATAAGAGTTCTACTGACAACGTTTTTCACATTTGTTTTCCTTCATTTATTTAATTATCGTTCATGTCAAATCGGCTACTAAAAGAATATTATTTCAATTTTTACTACGTCTCTAAAATATTAACGGTGATACTCATTGATAATCGTAATTGATTTCATTTCTATGAACAATATTGGAATATTGGATAAAATTAATTTTCTTTCTGATGGATTTGTATATAAAAAAACAAAATTGGTTGTTTTATTTTGCATCAAATTACTTTCGTGAGAATAGTTAAGTAATACCATGTTTATGTGTTAACGAAATCTGATAACATTTGTAATACGATATATCAGAAAAAAGAACGCCCTGCCAGTAGTTATACTTGAACAAAATAGCATTAATACAAATAGCATCAATTTAGATTACAAACAAATTGTTATGACAACGACAAGCTAATAATAATCTTTTCTTGAAATTTCATTCGATGCATCATCAAATATCACGACAAACATTTTGTGTCTTTTATACAAAGATTGTTTTCTGTGTCTATATGATACTTTTATTTCATTTTCATAAAAGAGAGACAAAAGATTTTATTATCACTGAATATTCGTTATCTTAACATAAGAAATATCATATCTGTTTTGTTCGATGTTTTTGTTATGCATCTATCAGCATGGCCTGTTATCGGTCACTCACAGATGGAAAGAGTTCGAACTTAAAAGTAAAGAAAGCTGTGTCTACTATTGAAAGGAATACGATTAATAGTATTTGAAATGAAAGCATTTCTATTCCTGAGCAGCAATGAATATTCTGAACGCGCAAAAGTTTTTTAAAATGATACACTCGACAATTTGTGCAAAACATGATAATGGAATATAGCTTTAAATAAGTATAAATCATTAGAAAAAAATTCTTCAATCACATATTAATCGATAAAATACAAAGTACTCTGTCAACGTACGATTTTCGTAGAAAAATGTTAGATGTTTACGAATCAAAATAATACTCGAAAAAATCATGCCTCTGTTTTTGATGAAATTCTGTAATGAAACTTGCTTATAGTGTATATTGTTCACTTATATGGGTAATGTTCGCAACATAAGCTATACTGAATGCACCCATTTTGACCATAGTTTGATTGAATATTTGCATTTGTTTTCCAGGAATACTGCGTTATGAAATTTCATTAACATTCAAGAAATCATGGTGTTTTTTTGAGCATTAAGCATTTTGCACTGTTTTTATTCATAAGTGTGCATATATTTGAAATTAACATCGAATTCTAAACAAAATGAGGCATTTGGTTTATTAAAACTTCAACTGTGATTTTTCTCAAAAATTACTCCGGTCGAAAAAACTCGAAAATTTTTTTTTTCGTTGGATTCTAGTGAAAAATACACCATTTAATATAGAATCCGACGGTGAAGACGAACATCTGATTGCTTTTAACGTTTTTTACTTTCACCCTGATCCAAAGTGTGATTTTCGTGAGAATAATCAAATTCTGTAATGAACACTATTTTTAGTTTGTTATTTGATACAGTAATGCTTGTTAAGAAATGACCTGATATTTTGAAAACTTATTAAAAACTGAACAATTTATATATAGAAAGTTTATTTTTAAATCGCTTCGATTCCAATAGTTTAGTTCTAGCTAAAAGGAGAATCAATGAAACTTTTACCTATAGTAGATCTAAATGGTTTCTATCTATAATAAATGTTTCAAAAAAAATTGCTTTTGTCATTAATGAGAAATAGATGTTACAATGTAAAAAAAACAATGAAATTTCTTTAACGCCTGATCACGCTACCATATGGAAAAAAAATAATCATAAAACATTTTCGTTTATAAAACGGATGTATGAACAATGGTATTTTGTCATACTATACATCATCTATTTTTTTTTCTTTTTGTCATGTACAAAATCGAATTATCAATGCATAACAGCTATATAAATGATAAAACTTATTATTCTTAGTAGTGGAATAAATTCTGTATTATTTAAGCTGATAAATAAGTATCGACAAATATGGTTTTAAGTTCTTCCATGAGCCTGAAGAAATTTTCATTTCTTTATTCCTCAATAAAACTTTACGGAGGAGAAAATCTATGATAAGGTTTCTTTTGTGTGGATAGTCTTAATACAATGAATAATAATAATCCTATGTTGAAAGAATCGCTAAAAAAGTATTTATGAGTCATTTCGATGATCGAATGATGAATACATGGAACAATACTTTGAAAAAAATGTTGTTCCTAACAAAAAACACTTGAGTAATAATATTCAATAGAATTTTTCTATTCCATATAACATTTGTATCTGGCAGAGAGAAGCTTTTTATCGGTTTTATAATAATGAAAATATTCTTTATAAAATGTTGTCGGTTTAATTGATTGTAAATAAGAAGAATAATTTCAATGTATCAAAATAGAAATATACCGTCCGTTCAGAATTAATTGCATGTAATTGATAATGTCATTTTACTATTTTTTCGTATTTCTTTTAATAGAATTTCACTAATGGAGATATAAAAGTCATCTTATATTTAGTAATTGATGAATTCAATCTCAGATAGAATTAATATTAATTGTTGTATTTATCAACTATCAACTTTATTAACATCAATAGTAGAGAGAAATAAAGTTTTTTTTTTCTGTATGTCATTTTTTAAAACTAGAACTTTAATCACATGAAGACTTATGGGCCGTTCCCGAAAAGAAAACTTCGAAAATCAATAAAATGTTTTCAAATTTTTCCGAAGACTTCTGAGCAATTCCTTGTTATTTTTTGTGAAAGCCCGCTGGAAATCACCTGAGAAATTTTGGCTCAATACGGTTATTTTTCCATATTTTGTCAACTAGTTCTGACTAAATTCGTTCGTTTTCAGAGTCTGGAATTTTCGACCTTAGCATATAAATATTCACAAAAAGTGACTTGACAGATTTGAAAGCTTTCACATTGATCCTTTCTATTTTTTTTAATAACTTTAATGCCTTTTTATTTAATAAATTCAAGTTCACTAATAAATAATTCATTTAATACGATCTAGAAATCAAGAGCTTGTCTCTCGAGTCTGTTTTACATCAATAAATGTTATGATGAAAATGTTTCAATGATTATAATATCAGTATTTGACCTAACCATGAAATAATGATAAATAGAAGTTTTTTTACACTGTTGGATATACTTCTTGACGTTATAATTATGTAAATATGAATCGTTTATGTTGACATTTTGATCGTAATTAAATATGAGTAAGACAAACATGTGACAAATTAAGTTTTACTTGTTTTTCAAGCACACTTATAGTTATGATAAATTTTTTATGTTTACTAGAACATATGTCGAATGTTTTTTGCTATGATTTTTGAGTAAAATAGTTCAAGTGTACTTCTCTATATTAATCACATTTCGTGATAAATCATGGTCTTCTCAATAATTGAATCAAACAACTCACATGATACTCTCTATGATCAATTAATAATGAAGATTATCAATTTATTTCGATACCAATAGTTGATAATCTTATGAAATACTTAGAAATAGTAGTTAGATGATTTTATAGAATAAAGGTGTCATGCAGTATTTTCTGTGACATCTTTAATATGAAGCTTATGTCAAGCATCTGCATCATAAAACAGTTTTTTTTTTAATTTTTTGCAGATGTTGTTTATGCTATTTATTATGTCTCATTACTAACATAAATCATTAGAAATTCTCTTTATTAAAAAAATGACAAGATCTTATTTGATTGCTAAATTGAATTTAATTTTTTTATTCCACACATAAAAACTTCTTGTCAAATACGACAAAAAAAAACTATCGACTGATTCGTTCATTATCATGAATTGTAACCGGGTGATGATGATAATTAGCGAGAATATCGTTTAATATAATATGGTAATTTTATTGTAAATATTAAAAGAGTTGCAATCAATGCGATTGGTACTATGAAACAAAAAAAAAAGAAATATATATAGAGAAACAATAATTTTTAAAAAATTAAATTTTTACTATTGCCTCGACACTGTCGTTGTGTATTGGATAAAGAGATCTCTTTAGTTTGATTTGATAGATTATTGCAGACTTGAAAATTTTTTGTTCTTATATACCAACGAACTGCTGTTAATGAAGTAGACATGGTGCTATCTGGAATATAAATAGTTATTGTTCTATTATAATAGAAAGTAGGAAGCTGTGGGTCCGGGTCACAAGTTTTTTTTTTTTTTTTGTCGGACCCGGCCTCACTATTTTTCGTGGGCTCTCAGCTCCCTAATAGAAAGAGAAGATCATCTCAGAATGTAATTGCTATTTTTTTTATTAATAAATCTATTTCCTTTCTTTTTACATCAAAGAAGAATGGTCGAATTTTCTTCATATTGAGTTTTTTCAATTATACGTGTTTATGAAAAGTATGGTTATTAGTTCCATTTGAAATTTAATAAAAATAAACTAAAGTTTTATTCATTGCAATTTGTTTTTTAAAATAATTCTATTTGTGCGTCATTTCTTATTCTTTTAGACCAAACAAAAACTTTTCATATGTATTGTTAAGAGAAAAAAAAATTAAAGCAAATGTTAAGCATTTGTGAAATCAATTTCTGCTCGTTGTGTTTCAAAAATTTCGACATTAGCTTTGCTAAAACATTGTTTAGATTTAGGTTTGATGCTTCAAGCGTTCGATACTGAAAATTTTATAATCGATCGATTTTATTTTTCAAAACGTATCATGTTACGAAAAGCCGGTTTTTTTTCCATAAAATACAGAAACAACTGAGACAAGGTCGTGAATATTTTTTCATTATTTCCTTTCTCTAATGTAAAATCTCGTTTTCTCTATTAGAAAATATGAAGTTATATTACAAACAAAAAAAAAACAAAGCGAGTAGTGCTCACGTTATTATTGAAATTTACTAACATTTGGGTTTGATTATTATCAAACAGTAGATTATCTCGTTTCGATAGATAACTTTTTATTCTATAATGAAAAGAAACAATTTTATTATTATTCATCCCAATATTATTTATTAGAAACTTCTATTTAATGGCTGAAGTAAACATCTGATTTGTCTTCTATGAATAAATGTCGATTATGTGCAACATAATAAACTAGGACAATAATTCTTTTATCTCAATCAGAATCTTTGCCTTCATTGAATAAGTATGAATAAATAAATAATATAAAAATCTGTAGATTTTGTTTTTTTTTATGTCGCCAAAAACCACACAATCGTCTTTTTTTTATTTTGGGCGCTCATCATCAAAAGATATGCTTGTGCGCATAGTGACGAAAAGAAAAAGAAAAAAGATTAAGATAATATATGTGAGTGTGTGCTGAAAAAGGCCATAATAAACAAACAACAGATATAGAGCGAAAGAAAACAAGCGAGCAAAACAAAAAAAAAGGAAAACGAAAAAAAAAGAAAACACACAGTTGTTGATGACGAAAAAAAAACCGATAAAGGAAAAGTGCTAAATGGTAACGAGCCCAAAAAGAAGAGTGAAAGGTTTCTATGTTTGCGTGAAGAATAAGAGTAGAAAAAAAAAGAAAACAAAACAAACAATCGATTGTCATTACAAACAATGTACGTTAAATACGCATGTTACCAGTCAACATAAGTAACCGGATGTTTTACATGACAATACAGAAAAAAAAACAAGAAAAGAATAAAAGACCATCACCACAATCATCAAGACAAAAAAAAGAGTAATAAGCTTATGTTTTTGTTTTTAATAGAAGCAAATAGGTTGCTCATGGATCTACACCGGTTGTAGGAAAAACGAAGAAAAACAGCAGGGTTGAGCGGACAAAACAAGAGATAAAGAGAGAATACACTCGGATGAGAGCAAAAGGTGAGAGAGACAGAGACAGAGAGCTATTGCGCGCCAATGAAACAAAACAAAAAAAAAACGAACAATCATCAATCAAAAAAAGAAGTTTTTTTTTTTTGTTCGAAAAAATGAACGAAAATGAGAATGTATCTAATCGCCGCGACGATAAAAAAGTAAATAAGGCGTAAATTTTTCGGTTGATGAATTCATCACTTGACTTGATGTAACAACTTGAACATTGGCATCATCATATCGAAGCCATCCTTGAAGACCAGGATGAAATACATCAGTTATATAATGTCCATCGATTGCACGTTCACCTTGATGATATTCAACAGCAAATAATTTATATCGTTCTGAAGAATGTTTTCGTGCTTGTTCAGTTAATATACCTTTGAAAAGAAAAAAAATTTATATTTTATGGAAAAAAATAATTTTTTCTTTTTCTTCTTTACTTTTTGGTAATGTTAAATTAACAGTATAATTTATTGATTTATTAATTTTTTTTGTTCCATCTGATTCATCATAAAGAAAACATTTTAAATGTATGATAAGTATAGGTGGTAATTGTTCGATTAACATTGTTTTATTTGTATGAACCTAAAGAAATTAAATTAATGATTAAAAAAAAATATTTTTTTCTCTTTTCTCTTTTCTTTTTTTAAATTATTGTTTACATACATTTTGTCGAGTTTTACTATCAATATAATCGGAAAGTGTTGATTGTTCACAAAAACGCATAAGAGCTTCGTCAAGTGATGTGATTTTTGGATCCTAGAAAATAAAACAAAAAATTTTTTATAATATTAACTGGATAGTTTAAATGAGAATAAAATTAAGAGAGAAAAGTATTTAAATAAGAAATCAGACTGAATAATTTTACCAAATGAAATAAAATTTTTAGATCCGAAGTTAAGCTGATCTTTCCTTCCATTGACTCAAAGTTTTCAAATTTTTATTTTTGCTTTTTTTTCTGAAAGATAAGTTTTTTAACGAAAAAATCATGAAGAATCGCCACTGTGTCTCAAGAATTGTACATATGATAGAACTGAAACTTCTATCTACTGATACTAGGATTAAGAGAAATTATCAATTGATAGGAAAGTTTACATGAAATTAGCTAAGTGGTAACCGAATGAGACAACATCTTTTGAGATTTGATTTTCGAAATTTTTACGATTCGAAATCTTATTCTATTTGATATTTTACTTTCTCGACACTTCGGAGATCGAGAGTTTTTTCCAGCTTTTTCCAGTAATTCAAAATAAGGAGCCTCAAATAATATCTAATATGTGTAAAATTAATTTTTAGCTTTATGAGACGCATGGCGGATGAGAAAAGGGGACCATTTTGAATCCTTGCGACGAGACCTGTGATAACTCAGAGTTCTAACAGGTGGCTCCTTTTTGAGAATTGAAACCAGTGACCAGTTCTTTTTTAACCTTTTGGCTATTGTCGACGCATATGTATCATGAACTTTACCGGCATCTAAAACTAACGCAATCAATCGTAGTGGATGTTTGTTTAGATTCGCTTGCATAGAAATAAGCATCTTGTAGCTGTAGCTGGTGATGCCATAATTTTATAATAGTATGTTTAAGAGTCGTGCCTTAAAAGAAGGACTATGTGCAAGGAACAGCCAGTTTGTTGTATATATGGTTATCTTTTGTTCTCTTTCTTCTTATTCAAGAACTCATTGCCATGTTCAACTTCAAGAGGTCACATGTTAACAGACCATTGATTGCTCATCCATTGCAATTGACAGGCAAACATTTCCAGTCTCTAATTCTTTCAAATGGAAGCACCCAAATTCTTCAAAGAAGATGTTATGTTAGCGACCAGTCTTTTTTCGAGAATTGGATACAGTGATGGCATTTTTTTTTTGAAAACTGAGTTCAGTGACCAGTTCTTTTATTGAGAACAGAGTCCAGTAACTAGTTCTTTTTCTGAAAACCGGATCTAGTAATCAGTTCTTGTTTCGAGAATTGGGTGCAGTGACCAGTTCTTTTATTGAGAACTAGTTCCATTGACCAGTTCTTTTTTTTGAGAACCGAATCCACTGACCAAATCTGTTTTTGAGAACTAGACCTAGTGACAAGTTTTTTCAAATGTACTTGTTGTACCAATAATGGTAATCTAGCGATTCTAGCCAGTACTTGCTCCAGTTGTCAAAAAGAAGTACTGATTACCATATCCAATTCTTTTAAAAAGAACTGGGTGATTGACACCAGTTCAGTTCTTTGATCGGAAACTGTCATAGGTCTACTTGCGACTAGAGCCCATCGAATTAGTGTCGGATCCGGATCCGAAAATTTTGGACGTGGTGGGTTCTAGTCGTCTAAAAAATGTGTAGGAAGTGTTAGTCACCGAATACAGAAAGTCGACAAACAGTATTTTGTATCTTCGGGGCGACTAGATAATTTCGATTAGAATATTTCATTGAGAGTATCAAAGTATGGTTTGACAGAGTCCGAAGTTGAAAATTTTGAACGCGACAGACTCTACTTGCGACCTTAATATTTCCTACAAGGACTTATTTAGGAATTTTGAGTCTATGACAAGTTTTACTCTACTCATCGAGATCTATTTGTTCGGGAAATTTTAGATTTTTCTAATCAACCATTCTCTAGAAACTTCAACAAGGTAAAGCAGGTTGCTTTAATTATCGTCACGTACTTAGCCTATAGTGATAGACGATATGTTTAGTTCTAATAATTACCCGTAGCAAAAAGATTGTCGACTAATGCAAAGAAAATAAATCTAATTATCACCGAAAATATATGTCAGATTATCATGATCCTCACCTTGCACGTCTATAAATGATCATGTTATTTCCTAGAGGGAAATATTTCTTTTGTTAATATCGTACTATTTCTAAGATCTTAATCTTGACAAATTCATTTCTCTAAAATTGATATCGTTTTTCCTTCTTGGATAAAATAATCTCGAATTTCGATGTACTTATTTATTGTCAGATCATGGTTAGAAAGTATATATAAGAAATTTCGTCTTCTCTGAAGATGTTTTTTTTTCTGTTTTATATTCGATAATTATTTAAATTATATTGGAAAATATTCTTACTTTAATATCAAGTGAAAGAGTAAAAAATGGTTCATGTATAACTGATTTTTGATTTCCAGTAATATGTACTGTTGAACGAAATTTTCCAGCAAATATATCCGCAATGAGACTTTTACGAATTTCATTCTTAAATACAAAATTATTTATAAATCATTTGACAAAAGAAAAAAAAACAAAGTTTTCTTTGTAAATTACCGTTCGAAGAACATGTGTACGATTTCTTTTACCAACTTGAAGCCAATCTTCGGATTTTTCTTCTCCATTATGGGCTGATATTGTTGCTGTTACATCAGATGTAGTTAAGGATTCGTCTTTAAGAGAAGTAAAATAAGTTTTTTTTCTTTTCTTTCTCTCGAAACTATTTTCAAATTTATTTACCATTTTTATTTATTGCTGTGTTATACAAAATTGAACAAATTTCTTCATGAAGTTCACTTAATAATTGACATAATAATTCATGTGCATCTTCTTGTTTTGTTTTAACAATATCAATAGATACATGACGAAGACGAGCTATTTCTTCAAGAATATCAACTGGATCAAATGGTTGACCACATATTATATCTTTATGATTTGCTGAATTTGATTTACTTCGATCCATTTTTTCAAATTGATTAACAAATAAGTGACTAAAATAGAAAAAAAAAACAAATATATTTCTATTTTTTTTTTGTTTTTGTTGAATAATAACTAAAAAGGAGTGCCGAAGTCTAGAGCAAGTTTATTATTCGATTTACAAACAACCTCAACAGTGAAACTTATTATGGTTTTGTACACTAAAAATCTTTAGGATAAAATTGATTAAATATTACCCTTTGAATCGAACGGACAGGGAAACATTCGTAACTGATCAATCGCTTTCTCATTGAAAGCTAGTGGACTGTAGACTATTAATCATGTTGATTTCGAACATGACCATACGAAACCTACATAGATATTTATATACTGGTTTTTCAGATTAGCAAAAAACATTTTGTTAAAATCGTTTTTGATCTACTCAGATTGTAGAGCAAATTGACTTGTCTATATCAGTTTCAAGGAAAATAACATCATCTTGAAGATTTTCACATTGAAATGCTGATATGTATATCTATCGCAGAGATGAAACGAGTGCTAGTTATGGACCGATCTACCAGTATGTCTTATTAATATTTTGTGCTTAGTACCTTACAGAGGATGTATAATGAAACTTTGTTGAAAGTTGACTACATCAAATATCACTATCCACAGATAAAATAGTGTGACAACCCGGTAGTATAGGTTTCAGACCGATCGGCCTACTCAGATCAGTACCAATTCCATTACTGATCTGTTGTATGAATTGAAATGGCTGATTTTTTTTGGGAAAAAAAAGATTTGAAACAAAGAAAGTTACTGTTTCCTAGGTTATTTGACAAACCAGCAAATGAAGATCTAAGAAGCTTTCTCATGATCATATTCTATGATCGACAATTCATTATTTTCCACTGAGAAAGTGATTGATTAGTTGAGAACGTTCGCTCGTGATTATTATTGGCTTAAATTGATTAATTAAATACGTCTTTATATTTGTAAGAGTAACTTACACAGCTTTGATACATGGAACATTATGATCAATAGGATCTTCTTTAAGTGGGATATATTTCATCACATTAAAAAAAGCAGGACAAGCAAGAAGTGCTTGAAGAGTCTATTAAAAAAAAATAAAAGTAATTTTATTTTATTAAAAACTTTCAAATTACATACAGCATTAATATAACAATAATTATTTTTATTTATTAAACCACGAGGTTTAATAGCCATTGCTGATGGACGTACTTCACATTTGGAAAAATAATCTATCAAAAATAAAACAAGAAAAATATTTAAATAAAATATTACAAATAAATAAAACCTTCTAATGATTTTGATTCTAAACCATTGCTATTATAAACATGATAATTTGGTTTTAAATAAAAACTATTTGTATTTGTTTTTGGTGTAATATTTCCATTTTGTTGTTGTTGTTGTTGTTGTGATGGTAATATTGTTGAGATTTGTGTTCCAGTAAGATTTGATGTTGTTGAAGTAGATGTTGGTATTGTTTGGGATTTTTTAATTGGACTAGTTGCTTGTTGTGGAAGAGAAATTTGAGTATTTGATAATGATGATGATGATGATGATGATGCTGTCTGACTACGAAATAAATCTGCCCATGATGTTGGTTTTGACTTTGGTAAATCATTGTGTTTATTAGGTGAAGATAATGGTGATGAAAGATTATTTGATGGTTTTAATGTTTCAATTGATGCTCCACTTGCAACTGATGTTGAATAAATATTTAAATCATTTGTTAATTGATTCGGTGTACTTAATAAATGTTGAGTAGAATTTTGATTGGATTTATTTTCTGATTGTTGATCGGATGGGATTATATTAACGGGATAACTTGGACGAGTTGTTGATGTACTTTGAAGAAGATCATTATCATTATCTGTATCTGTTGTTGTTCCAGGTTCTTGAAAAGAAAAATAATAATATTTAAATAAGATATTTTAGTTAATATTATAATTTTATTAGTGAGCAAATTTCATTATCTAATGTTTATTCTTTACTTTAGATAATTTCTCAATTGGGATTAGGAAAATATTTCTTCGGGAATTAAGCTTTTTTTTAGTACAGTGGGGATGCTAAATCTATTTTATGTAGTTTTTAACCAATAAATTAATATATGATTGATAACATTGTTTAACGAGAAGTATTACATGATAGAAACCACTTTTGAGCATGCTAGTTGAATAATCTTCATTAGTATTTTATGTCAGAAATGTTGAAAATAAAATCTAATAAATGCAGAATTTCCAATTTTATTGACTGACTAAGAATTTTCAGTAAAAGGAAAAGTTATTAGAGAATATTTCACTATTACTTTCTTTTATTTATCTAAATCTTATAATATCTCAGTTTTATTAAGTATCTGTAATTGCATAAACGTCAGCATTTATAAAGTCTATAAACTGATTTTGTTTATATAGAGTAGAGATTAATAGATTACAATAGGCGGATGAGATATACATCAAATGTCATTCTTCAACTGATCCATACGGTAGTAGCTTCCTCTTCCGCCTCCCATAACAGCTGGGAGGTCAAAAGGTCAGAGACCAATATGTTTTCTGTAGCAGAGGAGAAGGAAGGCCAACTGTCATTCAATATGTTTCTATATCAACCGATGATAAATGGCATCAGACTCCTTTTCTAGAATTTCTTAGCAAAGGAAAAAAAAAGCGCTGAACGATATCAATAACAAGACATGAACTGTTCTAGAATGTTCCAAACTCTTTCTCGAAATTTCAATCGCTGAAATACAATTTATAAATGTTCTCAATAGTATAATTTTTGACTTTTGTGTAGATAAAAAATGAATATTCAATATGCTCAAGATGATGAATAATTATGTATTGATTGGCCATAATCATCATATGATCAACATAAAAAACTATGAACTCATCAAGTTAAAAGTTTGAGACATAATCAATATCAGTGTTTCTGAACTTATCTAGACATAGAATAGTATATTGAGATCTGCTGTGGATATGACGCATATGTGCAATGGATTTTTTTTGCCAATTAAATCAATGATTAGAATAATAATAATAATAATGTTAAAATTACGAAAAATGGAAAACAACGAACGAATAGCAACAAGGCAAACCAAAAAATAAAAAAATAGAACGTACGAAGAAAAAAAAGAATTTCTATTTGAAATACAAAAATAAATAAGAGAGATCGTTTTCCTAGTGATTGACTATCCATTGGAAAATAACTATAGTCTATTAGCAAAATTTTCACTTGATGTATTTTGTATTAGTATAATGAGACTACCGAACATATGTGTGTTCCATATTTTAGCCTCAAAGGAGTTACGCTACAACCTGTTTTAATTACAAAAAACTTCTGCTAGACTGTTTCAATAGTTTATCTATCTCTATAATGAATTGATCTCAAGAGTTTCATAATGCATCAAAAAAGAAAAATATGTATATGGGAACAATACTAGAAACTCTAGATGATATAAAAATACTGGAAAGATGTAAGAAAAACTAATAATTAAGTTTTATATAAATTGTTTAAAAGTAATTTTACCATCTGAATCGATATCATCATCATCATTAGTTGATTGTTTTGATGATGATTGATCATCATCATTATTTGTCATTTGATGTTTCATAGTTGAATGAACCCATTGATCACATGTAATATATCTATCATCATTCGATGATAATAATAATAAATTTGATTCATTTGAATTTTGTTCTATTTGTGGTGTTTGTTCATTTGAACGTATTTGTGTTGGTGTTGTTTCATCATTTTGTCCATTAGATTGTTGTTGATGAAGTGTAGATGGTTCAAGCATTTGTTGATATTCTTGTCGATAATAATTTGGTGGACGTTTTTTCTTTAATTTTCTATCACTATGATGATGATTACGTGATGATGATGATTGTTTTGTTATTTTTAAATTTTCAATAGATGAACTTTTAGATGAATATGGTGGAGATGTTAATGCAGAACTTGTTGATTCTTGATGAGATGAACTTCCATTACAAGAATTATATGTTGGATATGAAACACCTGCAACACCTGATGGTGATATAACTGGTGGAACATCGAAACCAAATTCAATAGTTGTTGTCATACAATCATCAGTTGCCCATGGAAACTAATATTAAATTAAAAAGAAAAAATATATATATATATATATGTATGCAATGATTATATTCATTTATAAATACCGACAGTACCTCAGGTTCGTTTAACTTCACACATTGTTTATCATGACCGAAGAATTTTTCTGTTTCTTGTTCAGAAAAATCGCCAAAAACAAAATCCTATGAAATTAAGATATTTTTTTTTTGTTTAAAAAAAAATAATTAACTATTATATAAATGTAAACAACTTACGGCCATTATGAAGAGTCAAATAATAAAAAAGAAGAAAAACAAAATGAATTTAAATTAATATAGATATTTTTTTAATTGTTTGAATATAATCAATTATTTTAATAACTACATAATGATTAAAATGTATGACAAATCTTCTTATACTGCCTAGTAATCATCATCTACAAATAAGATTATTTCAGTTAACTGCGTAGTTTAATTTGATTTATATAAGATATTAATGATGTATCTTTGATACTACCGTTATTTTAAAATGATTAATTTATGATTAAACCTTGACTAATGATGTAAATCGTCATAGGAAAAATTGTTTTTTTTTTTTTATATGAAGATTTTTTTTCCTATTAGTTGTTTATTTGTTTCTAACATTGTTGTTGTCGAGGCTATCGAACGTTCGTTTGTTCTAACGACTAACTTGGTATTTTATGTTAACCAATGATAATTAATTTTACGAATAAATTATTTCCCCTTTTTTGAAGTTTACAAAAATAAAAAAGAATTTTAAAAAAATTAATTTTTTTAAAATTTATAATGGAATTATTAATTAATTTTTGTTATTTTCAATGAAAAAAAAGAAATCAACAAAAAATTTTTTTTAGTTTTATTTAAAAAAAAAAATAATATATAAATAATGTGTTTATTTATATAAAAATTCTTTATTTAATAAAATTTGTTTTTTGTTGAAATGAGTGACATCTATTACTCTTATTCATCTATATCTAGAAGAAAGCAAAAAAAAAAAAAACGTTTACTATCAAGTTCTAGATGATTCACTCTTTGTTAACAGATTTTGCTTGCTCTAGGTGTGCATATGATTCATGCTTTCGAAAGAATGATTCTTATGTGATAGTTTAGGTATTGAAAAGCTCTAAATTTAGGTTACAATTAATTGAATTCCAACCTACTACGAACAACTTTCCATAAACATATGTTTGAAACTGAAAACATTTTGTTTATATTGCGATCTATAATTTTTACTGAAATGGTTCTTAGCAGAATTACAAGAATATATCGATATCTCTAATGATTATATAATAATTCTATTTCGTTTTCAGTTCTCAACTATAGCCTTGTTTTCACCTGTAACATTGTTGCATCAATAAAAAGTAAAAATTTGCCAATTATAATGCAGTCGAAGTGCTTAATTCTAACACGTTTTTACAAAATATAATGTCGATTTTGTTTGTCTTCGATAATTTAAAAGTGACAAATGAAATTCGTTATCAAAATACTATTTTTTATACTTATCTGTTTCAATTAAATATGATAATTTCTCTCAATCTTATCTTTCAGTCCCGAGTTATATATTATCTACAGTGCATCATATTCAGAAGAGAAAATGTACTTTAGAACACCAAACTTACAAGTTATGATATTTTATCATAAATTTTCTAAAGCATGTATCTAGTTGAAAACTTTACTCAATTGAAACCAATTTTCAAATGAAATCATTCATAACTTCAAGAGTTTGAATTAGAACCCTGCATCTGACTCCAAAAACCAACTGTGATGGAGCTGGAGTGATTGTGAAGAATTTTTTTGGAGTCAATGTCAGAGTTACATCGTTAAAACAGTCAAACATTTTTACTATTACATAGTAACAAGTTAATGCTTTATATGTTAAGTAATAAACAAAAATACACTACTTTATAGATTCATAAGTTTCAAGAACAAAAATCAGAGAGAAATTCTCATTAACAAGTAGCATAAAAAGAAGTATATAGTGGCTACAAAAATTGATCGTACAGATTTAATTTCGATTTTTTTCATAATGGTAACTCGCAGAAAGAATCTCGAAAGTGTCTTGAACGAAGGAAAGTTGTTTCCAATAAGGATTTGAGGAAAATAGAATCTCCACAGTATTCTCAAAATCTAATATTTCTATAAAACCTCGAGCCTAGCTATTCAACACCTAGAACTCAAAAAAAGTTTCTTTTGACTATGCAAAGCAATAGAGCAATTGATTCTCTACAATATGACACGTCTGTCAGCTCTTCACGACGTTTTTTGAGGGAACCTACATTGATAATAAGAAATACTCAAAAATAGTTTTTTCGTCATTTCCTAAGGGGAAAATTGAACAAAAAAGACCTTTGAGCTTCTCTTAAAATTTATGTAATTCAGTCAAAAAATGTCGTGAAAAGCTCGGAGACGGTTCATTTTGTAGAGCATTGCTCTGTTATCTGATGTAATCAAAAGAAGCTGTTATTTTCGGATTTTCTAGAGATCTTGAACTTGGGAAATAATGCGAAGACTTTATTTCTCTCAAATTCTTGTTGAAAATAATTTCCTCCATTCAAGCCACTATTTTGATTCTTTATACGAGTTACCATTATGAAAAAAGTCGAAATTGAATTTTATATGATCAATTTTTGGAGTCACTGTATACACCAGTCACAAAAATTTTTGAAGTCAGAGTTGAAAAAGTTTGACAACGCACGTTTCAAGTTCGAATGTGTCTAAGTGCTAATGTAATGAGTTTCACACTGAGCAACTGATTACGTGCGGATGCCCAAAAACAATGATCAAGGGCAAGAAAAAAATATGAATGTTGGACTTGAGTATAACTGGCCTAAATTATGTAAAAGAATTTTGCATTTAGTCATTGCTTCAAGATTTTATTCAGATGTCACTAGTGGAAATTGCATATGATAACAGTCACAAGAAAGAAACGTCCTTTAAACCTTCTGACACTATTTTGAAAAAAAAATAACTTGAATACATTCATGTCAAAAAAGAAATGACAGCTTTCATTTTTTGATAAGATATTCAGTCAAAACTCGAACGCTCTATGATGACTCATATCCTATGAAAAATATAGAAAAGTTGAAAATCATTAGGGAAATCTTAGGATAGAAATTGTTCTTGTCATCTTTATTATAATTGCAAGTATGACTGAGTTCGTATCCGGTGAAGTTTTAGTATTAATCAACATATTAAAGATACAAGTTTTTCGTTCTTAATAAATGATATTTTTGAATGTGTGGAGTAGTTCTCTGTTTGAGTCTTTCGACAGATTTTTTTTTGAAAAATAGATTCCTTATTTTAAATAAAGAACATTGAGGTGAAGAATACTTTTATCTTTTTCGACATATTCAATTGAATCAGATGAGTTAAGCCTTCATGTTTTATCTACTGTCAATAACTTTTATAAGAATATATGTTCTATCTTCCCATTAATAAAATCGATAAAGACAAGGCTAATGATATGACGTGAGGTGCCAGCTAAAAAAATACAGAACATAGCCTTGCACACGAATATTCAATACTGTAAAGTTTATCTTATTCATCTTGTCTTGTTTATAGAATTCTTTTATTAACAATAAAATGAAATATAAACTAAAATTTATAGTTCCGATGATTCGATAAAAATTGTTGAGGTAATAGGATTTTCACTTTTATTGTCAAGTTCATTTAATTTATTAGTAAATTCTTGTATACCTTTTGATGTAGTTAATTCACGATTTTGCTCAAGTATATCGAATGATGATTGACATTGAGCATCAATTATATGAAAATGTTCAAGTATGGAATTCAAATATTCCTTATTATTTTCAACATAATTTGTTTTGTGTACAAGAAGATCGACGAGTCGATGAATAGTATTCAGATATTGTTTATTTAAGCGTCGTTTATGTTTTTTTTGTCTATTACGAACATTTTCAGCTACACCTAAATCATATAATTCGTTTTTTTTTCTTAAAATAATAAATAAAAATCTCTAACTTACTACTAATAATTCTAACAAAACGCCATAAACGAATTGAAAATATAAGTATTCTTTTACTTAAAACTTTCTCTTCTTTAAATAAAAAATACAAATCAATAATTAATGATGTAATAACAATGAATGCATCAAAATATTCCATTTTTTTTCTTCGAATATTCCAAAATTCTTTTCCAGATGCATAAATTCTAAATAATAATTCAATAAGAAAAAAACTTAAAATTGTTATGGATGCATAGTGTAATATTTCCATAAAAAATTCAACACGTTCTTTGATTATTTCATAATAATGTTCTGCTGAATGATGAATATAAATTTTACATTCATTTTGAATTTTAAATGATTCTAACATTATTTCAGCAATTAAAAATAATATGTCAAGAATAACTAAAAATATAATTAGAGCACGAAAATTAAATGATTCAATTATTTGGCATATGACTTGTTGATGATGATAACTCTGATTCCACCATTTTGAATGACATCTATTCGTACTTGATGATTTGTTTACTTTTTCATTGATAACAAATTTATCAGCTTCTTTTTTGTCCATTATGTTTATTAAGTCAATGAGGATTAGTAGCTTTAGAAAAATACGAAGTACATGAATGTGTAGAAAAAGTACGAGGACGAAAGCGATCTATGTAAAAGAAAATGTTTTGATTCGTCATTTTATTGTGCATGGCAGATTGTTTTTTCCTTTCTGTCTAACTGCAATCGATATACCATTATGTATTATGCGTCGCTGTTTTTTGCTCTAGTATATTTATATTCCTAGCTAATGACATTCAAAACATTTGTGCTCTATATATTATAGTTCCAGGTTTGAATATGATTCATAAACATTACGAGAGTATTAAATTAATCCTATGATTACTGACAAAAGATAAACGTACGTAAAATAGAGTGTCTGTACATCACGTACGTTTTGCGTTTCTTACCATAGAAATTTAGCATGAACTGTAACATAATGATGATGTAGACAGCTCCTGTTACTTGACGTTGGTATTTACTCAAATGTATTTAGTAAACGTACATGATAAGTGATTACATTAGTTTCAAGTGATGACTATGTTTATGACGGATATATATGCTGTCAGTAAATAAAGGGTTAATCAGTATTGTCAGAATTGGTTATATTTAAGACAAAAAAAATATTGAAATTATATGCGAACAGAATAAAATGGCTTAAGCTTGGTAAGAATTATTTCCTTTCTTGGTTTTTTTTTTCTAATACTATTTTTGTCTGATTATCTATATCATATAGATTCGTTTAATGAAACGGATTATTTACTGATTGTATCAGTTTATTGATATTTATTGTATCCTTAATGTGATTTTCAAATGATGAAAAAAAGAGTCTTTTTTTATTGAATTCGATTCTCTTATTGTAAATATTCTTTTAAATGAAAACATGTATTATGCTAGTTTCATCTCAAAATTTAATTAAAACAATGAAGAAATTATTTCAGAAATAGTTTATAATGAAACTTTACTATTTGTTACAATAAGAATTTAATGAAAATACAATGAATGATATAATCAATACGAAATCAAACATTCTGTAATATTCTCATTTAATTCAGATAAAATTCCTTCTAAACTTGTTCTTATTAAGAAAACTATTACATCAATCTTTCTAACTCTTTTTTAACATCAAAATAGTTGTCTTTATTTTCTCTAAATGATTTCTCAATACTTTTCGAATGATTGAGAGATTAGTTGTGTCTTCTTGAAAACTGTATTTAATTGAAGATGAAAATTTATTGAGTTTTATATCATATTTATTTTCGTCTTTGATGACAGATTTTTATTTAAAAAAAGTATGCTATTCAAAATTAACTTGCGAATATAACCTAGACATGTGTCAAACGAAATCTGGTCATCATTATTTTAATGATAATATATTGTATAGACTTGTTTCAAGGTGAACTGGTAAGAAAATGTGTATTCGTAATCATAGTACAATCGAATGAAGCATATTGAAAAAGAAAATGAAGATATGCATCGAGTTTTTTTCCAAAAACTTTTGAATAATTGATCTTTCAACATATAAATGACATTTTGACAATTACTGGCATCCATTTTCTGATTACTACGAAAAATTCCTTAATATTCTTGTGCCCATTTCAATAATTTTATCTCATTTTATTAATTTTACTAAGTGCTCAGGTTATTGACCAAGAACAAGTAATTTTAATGTGCTCTATTTTACTTTCATTATCTTCTATTACTATTCATTTAAATTAAAAGAGACAGTCAGTGTTAATCGGATATCTCCATACGAATAACAGCTAGAAACTAGAGGGTTGCAGGTTACGCTATTTTGACAACCTGTAACCTGCCCTGCTGAGATTTTGACAACCTGACCCTGCCCTGCCCTGCCCTGTTTTCTTTAAAACCGAAGAAAATTCCAAACTTTCGTATCAATTTATTATTAAATTTCATTTCGATTTGTTACAACCATAAAGCAAAACCAAACAACATTATATACCTCGAAAATTTCTAACCATCAAAATATCATCAACAATATCTAGGTTTAAAAACTGCCTTCTTTTTTCTAATACTCGATCTGATGAGCTAAAAACATGCTCCGATGTGGGTGTAGTGTAGAGTATGAATCTTCTCTTCGCATATCCACATCCTATTAAGAGATTTCTTATTTTTTAGTGTATTTGATTCATCTAAACAATTTTTAAAATGATAGCTAATAGTAGAAGTTTCACTTGATATGGGATATGATAATATCTCATAGAACAATCGACATTGTACGAACGGTTGATATTCATTATTGAAACATTTAATATATAATAAATGTTCCAAAAATGAACCATAAGATGATGATGGCGGTTGTACTGTAGCTATAAATTCACTAGTTTTAAGTTTTTCTATCATCTGCTTCTTTTTTCGTTCCATATCTTTTTTTGAATTAGACATAGTTGATATTTCACTAGCAAGAAAATCTAACTGATATTGATGATGATATTTGAGAGCTTAGTTAATGATGATAATAAAGAAAAGAGCAAGATAAAACTCAAAATAAGAAAACTAAATGCACACTTGAGTAGCTACACAATGTATAATGGATAGGTTACCAGCATATCTGCTTCTATTGAGTATCTTTGCGACTAATCTAAATTGATTTTTCAGTTCACTTTCACTTCTATTTTTTTTCTTAGTATATAACTTTAGAAAAGATATCTATAATATCTAACCCATAAAACTAGTCACAGGTTGACAGGTTACGATACTCGTACCCTGCAAGACTCTACTAGAGACCTACGGTTTTTTTTGTTCAATAGCCCTATATGAGACAGGTAAATTATATGCTAGGAACGAAAATTTTCGAATATGTCTTCACAGGGTTTGAGGGCTTTTTTCGAAAAAAATCGAACACTACAAGTGTTAAAGAGGTGGATTTTGACCCCTAATTATTGAAAACAGTAGGCTAGACTATTGTTTTCATTCGAAAACAACCGCGTCTTTCTACGATGTTCTGTTAGAAAACGCCAGCATCTCTCGTGAAATCCTCAAAAAGTTTTATTTTACCCTCGAGAACATGAAATATTTCATTCAGTAAGGATTTCAGATGATTATTTCTAACTTTTCAAGTATGAGAGTTTCGTTAGAAATATTCTTAACTGCTTCATTTCTTAAAATGATATCGATTCAGATAGCCCATTTGTTCCACTGTGATCTATCATTGGCTATTTTTCAGCAGATAAATCATTTGGTTTTATTTTTTCAAATTAAATATCATCTTCACTACTAGAATCCATCGAAAACTCTTTTTCATCTTTGGCATCGGTATTGATAATTTCAAGATCGATCGGTTCTTCCAGATATTTATCGACTTCTCGAAATGTCATTTTCGCCTTGCGAGCGTGAGCAATAAAGGCCATGCAATCGTCTAGTGCTGTGATGTACTCTTGAGAAAGAGTGCTTACATCACCATCTGAAATGAGGTATTGTTTCGGTGAACGTAGCTTTTCAATTATGATCAGCATAGTTCGATTGGATTCAGTACGCGATGCTTGATTGGAAGGCGGACGATTTCGACGTTGAATTCTGCAGCTGCAACATTGATCAAGTACTTATTGGGTGAAAGATATTTGAACGCCAGCTCAAGTGGTTCAGCATTTGTGAACGCTGCGGCAAATGTAATCCCTCTGTTATTGAGCCAACCCTGAAGTGCCTTCTTTCGCCAAGATCGTTTCCGTGGTATTGAAACGTCCGTCAATTTGTTGTGCCAAGTTGCATTGTCAATCACGATCGCTATTCGAGCTCATGATCCATGTTTTAAGCGCAATTGTGTGGCAGTGAGCGAGACCTATTCAACCAAATGGCTTGAATTCTAGATCGTTTGTCAAGAGAATCGTTTTCGATTGTAAAGGAAGTGTCTTTAACTCACCATTTTATGATCAACGTCGCATGTGAACATATCTACACTCTCCTTATGGAAATCTTCTTCATTGATCATTGTCGAGATTGCCAATCCCTTTTCCTTGCCATCACTCTTTCGGAGTCGTCCTTGTCCTGCCTCATCAACCGAAATTGAGCACTTCTCTTTCCCAACATTGCACCATGTTACATCATGATAATAAATGGAATGCCTGATTCCTTCGAAGATCATCAAGACGACGAAAATAGGCCGCTCGCTGAACAACGAACAATACGGAGTCGAGTAGAATAGTCACTTTGTTCGTTTGCTTCTAACCAAAACCTAGTCGCTTCATCAAAAGGCTTGCTAGCAGATTGTGGACAGTTGGGTAGCGTTGCTCAGCCTCTGAAATGAAGTACATAGAATGAAGTAAGTATCATTGTCTATTCTTACTGGAATCAAATGGAAATGATAATGAATAGCATCTTCGACAGCTTCACTGAGAACAACTTGTCGCCATTCAATATTACCTTCCTTCTTTGGTGCGATGAGCATAGGAACATCAGCAAGGAGGTGGCTAGAGCGAGTTTTCTCGCAGATCAAGTCTTTTTTGTTTTTTGAAAGTCAGAGGGAGTGAATGCAAAGGCAGACTGGGCTCGAGTACGAATCGTACTGGTTTCGGGAGCCATCTCTTCAGCTTGGCTGCTGTTCTCCATTCTCTGTTCTTGTCGCAGTTCTTCCAATTTCTTTTTCAATCTGCGAACACAGTTGTCGCTGATTCTCAAGAGGGTCATCACTCGAGCGCTTGTGCTTTTCAGAGGTATCTGCAGACTATCTCGCTCAGATTCGACGAAGTCGATCACTCAAAATATGAGTTTCTTTTATTCTCCAGAGTATTCTTCACATTTAGGCATATTGACACGAAAATTTCTAAATGATTGAGAGAATAATAATTCGAAGAAATCTTCTGAAGTTGATTCTTTCAGAAATGTTATTGCTTCTATTGGGTAATAACAAAAGATAATTGTATTCGATATATTCACATGCTTTATTGTAGAAAATCAGTCACTATATATAGGTTTTGAAATATCAGAGCGTGTTATAGAAAAAGATCTAAGAGAGAAGAGAGAGAGAGAGTACAGACTACAGAATAGAAGAACACCTGATATTAT